CGCCCCTACCCAGCCGGCAGCCACGGCCCCTCAGCTTAGGAGCCCTGGCCGGCCCGGCGGCGGGCGGGTGCCCCCTCAGGGCACGGGAAGCGGAGGCCACAGCCCCGAGAGAGTCCTGCCGCTCCCCCTTTCCCTTGTCCCTCCCCTCCTCCCCTCCCTTCCCTGTCCCCTCTGTCCCGGCCGCGCCGCTCCCGCGCCCCGCACCCACCGGCCGCCGCCGCCACCGCCGCCAACCGCGCGCGCCCGCTCTGCGCCCGGCCCCGCCCCGCCCGCCAATCGGGTAACAGCGCGCCGGGAGACACAGCCAATCAGAGACCGGGAGGACGGGCCGAGGGGGAGAGGGGCGGGTTCGCCGCGCCGACGTCACCCGCAGCGCTGGGAAGGACGGCGCGCGGCAGGGCGGGCGCTCCCTATTGGCTGCGCCGGCGGTGCTCGCCGACCAATGGGCGCGGGGTCCGTGCCTTGCGAGGCGGGGCCGGCTCCGCGCCAAGTGCAGCGCGTGGGGGTGCGCGCGCCTGCTCTGAGGGGTCGGGGGGGGGGGGGGGGGGGGGGGGATGATCCTCCGCGTGCGCCCTCCGCGTGCGTGCCGCGTGCCCTTGGTGTGTTCCCTCCCGGATCCCTCAGCGTGTGCCCTTCGGGTCCGTCCCGTGTCCCCTGGTCTCCCCCCGTCCTTCCCGGGTCCCTCCCGCGCCTCCCGCCGAAGCCGCTGCCGGCGGCCCCGGGCGCTCCCCGGTGCCGGTGTCTCGGCTCCCGCGCCTTGCCAGCCCTGCTCGCACCCTTCTGAAAAAGCTTTGTGGTCAGGCCTTGGTTCCTCCGCTGAAGGTCACAGCAGCCGAGAAGGGAGAGAGAGGCTGGAGAATGTGACAGGTTCTGTCACGTTTATTGCCTGTCCAGGCCATTTTCAGTAGCAATAGAAAAATGGGAACGTGGAGATGTGCAATTTCTGTGAGGCAGACGAGGTCTTTACCTTCAGTTCGGTGATTTAAGGAGCAGAATTGCTGTGGCTCTTCCTGTGTCAAACTCGACTTTGGCTGCCCAAACCGGCAGAGCATCCCACCAGCATTCCCCGCTGCCCGCTGTTTGTTCCTCTGCTGGCAGTCGGAAGGCCCTCTGGATGCCCTGTGCTCGGCTCACAGGCGGCCAGGACAGTGTGTCCCGGGCTCTGTCCTTGGCAGCAGCCCTCCGTGCAGGCCGGGCGCCACAGGAGGCAGGTTCCATCAGTGATGGCCCAAGCACAAAGCCCTGGCGGTGACTTGGCAGCCTGTGATGGGTACCTGGCCCTTAGGCACACGAGACCTGACCTCTGCAGCCACCTATGTCATCTCTACCGCTGTGCACCGGCTGCAGGACCGCCGCAGCCACCACGGCAGTGTCACAAGGGGACTCTGTCTAACACTCCTGAAAACGACAGCTGCTGCACAGCCCTTTTTGGGAGAGCAGCTCTGACAAGGACAAGAAGAATGACACGCTCATACAGGGCAAAAGATGCTGGTCCATGTGGAAGTATCCCATGAACTGAGTGTGGTGGTGGAGTCCCCATCTAGATCACACCAACCCACGTTCAAATTAGCACACCAATCTAGATGCAAATGAGCGCTCTAAGCTGCAGTTACACCTCTGGTATTAACAGAGATGCTTGTGTGTGGGTGAACATTTTATTTCCCATGAGGAACCTTTCCTGCAGTTACTGTCAGGTTTTTGTTACACATCAGGCTTGTTATGCCATCAGTGCAGACAGCACATTAAACTGTGCTGGTATGCAAGCTATCGTCTCAGACCCAAGTGGGCTAACATTTAAATAGTGTGTGATGCTGCCGCCATCAAATTTCTCCCGAGGCATGCTTGCCTGATCTCCCTGGGATTGCACAGAGGCAGGGAGCAAAGCAGCCTTGGGGACGTGGGCTGCAGCCAGGCAGGACTGATGTCAGGGGTCCCTTCCCTGTCCTACCGGATGGCACCGGAGCTACAAACCAAAGCCAAAGCAGGGCAGGTGGCTCCAGTGGCAGATCCAGCTGCAGCACTGTGCAGAACTTGGCAGAAAGGTCAGCACTGGCCCTTCTGGATATGGCCAGGTATTCTTCAGACTCCTGTTGCTGAGGAGGAAACTTCCTGCAGGAAAATTTGCCAACTCTCATATGCAAAGCAATTGAAGGGCGCATTGAAAAAAGTCCTTGGTGGTGAAAGTCAGGGCACTGACTTGATATGAGTGGGGAAGTTGGGCCTCTTACAGCACATCTGGCATGAATGAGACGAGAACAGCTTAGTTAAGTACAAAGGGACAATAGCTGTAGTTTTGTTTTGGTTTATTTATATTGTCAATTAAAACCTATATGTGTATTCAGGAGGCTTTGGGTACAGATTTTAAAGGGAGTCAACAGCTCACAAATCATAATTAGAGCATTAGACTTCTGATTATTTTTCCACTTAGCACATACAAACTCTACATATGACATACAGATATTATCCATTGATGGTTATTTAACCTGCCCTCACCAACCACCCTGATCTTCAGGATCCTCAGTTTTATTTCTCATTTGCTGCTGTCTTTGAGCAATTCAAGTTTACATATCCCAAGGTTTAGACTGCTGTTGTAAGGCAATTTTAATGTGATTACTACTCATCACACATGGTGATGTGTAGTACTTCAACAACAATATAACAGCCATAAGCAGAATCTTGTATGTAAACGCAAGAAAAAATTAAAAATTTAATAATTATAATGCAGTTCAGAGTAAAATATATTACCAATACTTTCATAAATACATACATTTTCAATATTTCACCATCAGTAATAAAATATAATCTGTCATTAAGAATGTAAGAACTGTACTCTGCTAGTTTAAAAAAAATAAATTGAGGTTCCTGAAAGTAAAAGTCAGGTTTTTCCCTCCTTCTCTAATAGCTGCAGTCTTCCTTGAGATGTGGATATTCTACTAAAGTACAGTTTTGGGATTTTGTAATTACTTTTACTATCAAACAGTATTCATCGGCACAGGCTATATTAGCTTTTGCACACAAGGCACAATAAATCCAGGTCAACATTAACTATTAATAAATACAGTGTTTCTCACATACAGATACGTTGCAAAGCTACAGGACAGAAACAGCAGTTACATTATTTTCTAAAACGTTCCTTTCAATGCTTCTTCTTGAGTGGATTACACAGCCCATATTTCCTTTTCAGATGACCTAATGTTAATAGTCTAAGAAGGAATTATCACATGGAGAAAAGAAGGTATGAGAGACTGAATACTATGAAGGCCTTCACTGGTTACATGTTTGAATCATTCTATAATTTCAGAAACACCAGAACTGTGAACTTCAGGTTTTGGTACTGGGCTAGCCAGGGGGAAATGTAATTCCATGGGCCTCATCACTGCTGTTTATTAGACAGATTTACTAACGTCACTTCTTTTAAAAAAACCCAAAAAATTAACTTTTGCTCATCTATATTTTAAATTAGCCTTTATCTTAAATTCTTCGACAACAGGAGTTTCTGTATCTGCACAACAGCCACTTCTTAAACTGATATCCAGATACTGAGAAATGTTTAATTCAGTGTCAGTTTTGGCAGTATTTTCCCACAAATGTCTAAAGGGATCGATGTCTAATTCTGGGTTGTTGAGGACATTTCACCTCTCCTAGGTTTGGGTGTGCATCCTGCCTGCATCCCAGTTTTAAAGCAGTTTGAGGCTCGCACAGGCAGGCATCATTCATCTCTGCTCTGGTTTCCATGGAGCAGACTTCCAGCAGAATCTTCTTATGTTCAGTTTAGGGGTGCCTTACCTTAGGCCTTTTTTTTCCAATACTTATTAGTCAGATTTTTAATTTCAATTACAGTCACCTAAGCCCAAAGCAACTCCATTTCATTTCAGTGGAATTATCCTGGATTTAGTCTGTGATAGCTTTGATCCAAATCTGATCTCTCTCTCTCTCTTTTTTTTTTTTTTTTTTTTTTTTTTTTTTTTTTCCTGGGCAGTCCTGGTTATATATTTCACATATAAAATACTAGTCTGTCTAACAGAGAAGTGTAATTCTTTGGCTCCAAGATTCTAGAGTTTTCATAATGTAAAAGCTGTAAAATTGTATCAGCATGGAAGATACATGTTATGGATGAATGTTGTTTTCCAGGTCATGCGATCTGAATATTTTGTTTAAAAAAATAGAGTAACAGGGAAAGGCAACAACTGCCAGCATTTTCCACTCTCTTCAGCCTACCAATCTTCTGCATTGTGCTACCACAGAGAAGCTGGATTTCCTATTGGTTCTGAAGAGAATGGTGCTGTCAAAATTTCTGACACTGTAGCTGACTGTCTTGTGTCAGTCACCTGCTCAAGTGTTACTGGGTTTTACCAAATTCATTGGTTATCCCTTTCTTCATCTGTTACCTGGGAAATCAGTTCCTTATAGAAATAGCAATCCTTCCCAGTTTGCACCCAGAAGTAGGGGACTAGGAAAAACAGAGGTAGGAGCAGACCACATGCCAAATTAACTGTCCTGATCCATTTTCCCAGGTATACTTGCAACTTCCCAACTGTAGGAAGTATGCTTGAAAGGGATGGAGAAAGAAAACTGAATAGTTGTGCACATTGCTCAACAGACTGTAGAAGTTAATACAAGCATTAAAAAGGAAGATTGAAATGCAAATGTAGAAATTTATCCTACCTATTATTTTTCTTGGAGCAGCTACTCTTATTTGGAGTATTCTTATTAGTATTCTGTTTATTCTTGGAGCAGCTGTTCTTATTTACACAGAAATAACTGTCTGGAATTTATGTTTTTAAAATGGCAAAAGTACTTCTTGACTTGATATTGTTCTGACGTTCACCTCTAACTTTCATTTTAGCTCTTTACTGTGCCTGCCTTTGACAGGATGATGTATCAATGATTTGTGTCAAATATGTATGATTTGACTTTCTCAGAAAGAGGTTTTCCAGTATTTTCATTTTCCATTCATCACTGTTAATGGAAGAAAACCACTGATGGGGACACCAAAGCTGATATGGGGGATTCGTTCTCTTACTTTTTATTTTTATTGTCACTTGCTTACTCGTTTCCTAGCTAATTTGAGAAACCAAGAGTAATAATATTTTTGACATCACATTTCTTAGCACATTTTGTCAAAGATTTATTACACCATGAAGTAATCAAAATGGTAGCTATAAAAAAATCACAACTCAGTTGTGCAGAACATATCTTACTGACTATTTTCAAGTAATCACTGCTGATAATAACTTGATTAAAAATATAGAATACCAGGTAGCACATAGCTGTTGACAAAATTCTTTAGGAGGAGCTTTTCAGGGACCTCATTATGAATGATCAGTATGGAAACCAATAGCCAGCATAACTTATTTGCGGGAATTTGACAAAATGGCTGTTTTAAAAGCAAACAATTTAGGGAAAGTAGAGAACCTGTGAGAAGGATAATTAGTAATTGATTAGTGCTCATTCCCCTAAGTCTGGCTATGCAATGAAGGAAGTCTTGAAGTCCTTTGTCCTTTGTTCATTTACAAAATTCCTGCAGCAAGTGTATCGTGACATGATAGTGCCCCAAATCTTGGCAACATTTGTGCATGCCTATTCAGATACTAACATATTTAGAACCTGAACTAAACTTCCCCAACTTGGGTTCTTCCTGCAGTCATAGTAATGTTAAATTAACTGGTTATAAGACCTCTTAATTTCATCTGTGAAGAAAGGAGGGGGTGTGCTAGAGGTGAATGGGGACAGTGGAGGGAGCACCAACCCTTCCATTTCCATTGCTTGGTTGAACAAATGCTCTTGACTACAAACTGGTAAGAAATGACAGCTCAATTCTCCTTGGCTATGTGCATCCTGGAAACAGGCAAGATGAAACTACAGTACAGAGAAGGAATGACTATGGTTACAACTCAACTTGGCAAGGATTTTGCTACTGCAGCTGGGCTATATAACAACAGGTTTTGTACTTTTTTCCTTCATAGTTTGACTTTCCCACCTGCACCTAAAATAAAACTTGGCAACACAGAGAAAGCCAGTTAATTACCTCATCTCCACTTATACTTCACTGCTGCTACTGCTGGTGATGATTTTGTTCCCATGTTTTCAGAAGATCAGTTGCCAGCTGTGAGATGTGCTGCCAGGCAAACTTGATGTGGGTGGATTCCACTGTGCGGGAACAAATAGCAAAACGTAGCACAAACTTCTCTCGCAGGTGGCACGGGACCAGATGGATCTTCTTGGCATCATTTATACTTTTTAGAAGTGCCTCATTTAGTTCATTTGAGCCCTGAAATCATTGTAATTCAAAGGATATGGCAATGAATTTCAGAAACAATTCTGGAAAATGTAAATCCCACCAAGCAGCCAAGCTGAAGTAGCACCAGTAACAAGCAGTCACCCTCTCATCTCTCAGTGCTTTGCCCTCAAAGAATCACAAAAAGATGTTGATGTAAGAGAGAAGTTTTGAGCCACAAAGAGATTTAGAGATTACCTTCAGTTTAGAATCAGTGCTCACACTGGGGCATTTGTGATAGCTGACTGCCTTTTTGTGACCTGAGGTCATGAGCTACGTTAAAAGCATTCATTATTGTATCTGTGTTATTGCACTCTTCTTGGATCTAATCAAACAAACATGGGAGGAAGTTTTGCAGTGAGCTGTAATAACTTTCCTCACTTAAGCATGGCTGCTGTGAGAGATTCTTTTGAATATGAAGTCTTACCCTTAATTAATAATTTCTTAAGGTAATATATCCCTGGTATAATTAGGTTTCATATGATCAGTGGAAACCCTAAAAAAGTATTTGCCTCAACTTCTATAGGAGTTACCCACCACAGAATCCATCAGAGGAAATATCTTAGGTACTGTGCAACCTTTACTCTCTCTATTACACTGGTGGGAATGCATAATTGCAAGAGATTCTGGGAGCATCTGCATTTTTACTGCAGTGCCCCCTTACTGAGCACTGGCTGTGGAAAAAGAGTTACAAATGGACAAATCCCTCTGTTCAGCAGCAGTTGTGTTACTGTGGCAGTATTGGTCTTCTTGAAAACATCCTGACCAGAAAACACCACCTCTGAAATTCAGTTGTGACTTTCCTGCTTCGCCTTTTTCATATAAAACCAAAGCATAAGGCAGACAGTTTCCTACTGGCACTGGCAGCAAGGATAAATGCATCACTCTCACATTTTAGGCTATATTAAGCATTAAGAGTTGAACCAAAGTAAAAATTTTGCTCTGTCTTAGCACAAGTCATTATGAATTTGGTGTGAAGTCCTAAAGTTCATGGCTTAGCCTTACTCTTCTAGGAGATATTTATGTGACTGAAATGCTCCTAAGAAAATGGACCAACTTTGGTGTTTTGTAAGTCCCCACCTATCACAGGTCAGTCACTGCCGACAATGATGTCCTGCTTTCTTATCAAAGGTAATGCATTATTAAAATGACAATCCTTGCCTTTAATATCAAATGCACAGCACTGACTTTCAGGCAATACGAGCAGTTATATGATGTTAAGTTGGCAGGAGCGAAGGGAGGAAGAAGAAAGATTCATTTATCTTTCTTCTCTTCTACTCTCACAGCTCCACCTTAGGGCTGCTGTGACACTCGGGTGTCACGTCAAATTGAAGTTGGTAGTGACTAATCCTCTCCCAGAGCTTTGAGAAGGCAGCTTTGATTGAGTCTGTGAGCTTCAATAAGACAGCATTCTCACCCCCCTGGAGAAATTACTAGCTTGACTTGTATTCATCTGCAGTCATGACAAGGAGGCCTAAAACTAACCCTTTGGCATGACATATTTGATGAAATAATTATAATATGAAAGTCACAGGTAATTAGTCCATTTGCTCGACAGTGTGAAAGACAAAGAATTAAAAGTTACAGCTAAGCAAAAAAAAATTGAAAGGGCTTCTCAAGAACAAAGGAAATAAGAAAAAAAAGTTGTACTTTTACAGCTCTGCAATATTATATAGTTCAAGTCCCCTGACCCTTAATCCTACTGTAACTACATAAAAGTTACAAATATCCTACTTCTAAGTTGTATGAATTATATGATTATATGAGTTATAAAAATGACAGATTTTTGAAGGAGTGATATAAACAGCAATTAAAGCTGCTAAAATAGCTGTAAAAACCTAATTTGAAAGCTTGTTAGGTTTTTTTTCTTTTTTTGGATTGGGTAGGCAAGAAATAAAAACACTGCTCTTTTAACACTGGGTTTCAGTGGAATCAGGCCTTTATTCTACAACTTGTTCAACTATTTCTTTGCTAAAGGTCCAACATTTACCTCCTATTGTAAAATTGTCTTTCCCTTTAGATGTGATTTCTTCCTCTGAATCTTGAGGGACAGGAGAACAGATGCAGATGAGCTACTGGTTTGATCAAAAGTGACAATTCCTGTGTTGCTATGCTCTATTTCACCAGAACTGTTCCTTCAAAGTAGATGTAGAGCACTGACTAACAGCTGTGTCTGGATCTGCAAAACTAGTGTTTGCTTGTTCCATGTGAGAGAGCGGACTGCAACCAACATTTTGTTATTGAGCAATAAAAGCCACAGAATCTATCCCTCAACATATTTTAAAAGTTCTTGTTAGGAAATAGATTATATTCATGTTTCCACTGACTGGAAAAACTACATTCTGTAATCTGTCTGATCCCTTAAACATGGGGTCTTTTTAAATTTCATTTTAAACATTATAAATTCAAACAAAACCATTTTCCTATTTCAGCTGAACTCACCATTACTTTACTATTTACTTGTTAGCTTCTTCAGCTATTTGCATCAAACTCAGGTAACTGGGGCAACTGAATGACTAAGAAAAGAAATTGTTAAAAATAAACTACCCAGAAGGAGAAAAGATGTGCTTGCAAGCCTTCTGAAAAACCAGAAGCTCATTTAGGTATCACATTAACTAGAAAACACTAGTGCTGTTGTTATTGTTATTGTCGCTTGGTGATCAGATTCAGTGTTACAATGCAGTCCTCTGCAGAGGCTTTAGCTGCAAGCTCTTCTAGAAAATGACTGCTTTACCTAAACTGAGACACTGATTCCCTTTTAATGGCGAATTGAAACAAATGAGCTCTCCCAGCTACTGCAGCTTTTATGCTCCAAGTGCAGAAAGAATTTTCTAGTTTCCATTGGGCAAGGCCTCCACATCGACGAACTTGGCACTTTGAGAGATTTTGGGCAAAAGGATCATGTTCAGCAATAAAAAGCAGACCAGGAAAGTTGGCCTCCCATGTAACCTGTTCTAAACACATCTTACTTCTATTTTCCCAGTTTTACCATCAAATTTTATAGATGAAAAACCACTCTTTAAATAAAAGTGTTTAGTGCTCTGATTTTTAACTCAGTTTTTTAAAAAATAAAATAGAATATTAAATATATACATATAAGAAATTAACTTGACAAGAAACAAGTAATACTCATCATATTCAGAAGTCTAGGGAAATACTAAAACAGTCATCTTTATCAAAGCTCCCACACACAGAATGTAAGTAATTTTATATGACTGGTTTAAACATTTGTTTGCCTTGACTGTATGTTTCCATACCTTAATATGCTTTAATTTCTCTTAAGCTTTTGATTCAATTTTAACAAAATTGTCTAAAGCTTTTTTTCTGTCATCTGCTTTGTTCTAAAAAAACTCGCTTTACTTCCCTTAAAAAATAATCAACTACAAAGACTGTATTCAATTGCAGGTTCTGGTGTTGCTATAAACCATGAGAGAAGAAATGGGAGATCTTAGCTGCCTTACCTTCAGCCGGAAGCAGACCAGTCCCAAAACAACCTCAGCACAGATCTCAAACCTCTCATCCTGAAGGACTAAGTGCTCAAATTGATGCGACAGTCTAATGTGCTGAGAAGAGAAAGAGTATCTGCATTGAATACATTTGATTCACCAAGAAAAAAGGTGTGCTGAAGTATTTTCCATTCCATTGCTCTGTTCCTTCTGCTGCTGTGTGATAATATTCACATATTGCCATCTGTTTGTGTTAACTTCCATCCCGTTTATGACTTCCAGAGACCATATGGAGCCATTGCTGTATTAGGATCTCAGTCTGTCTTAGGCAGTGCTGGTCTGCTTCTTGAGACACTTCAGCACAATTTGATATGATACCACATTAAGAGTAAATAATTTTAATAACTCTACTTTAGCTTTTACACCACTGTTAGTTTTGGCTGGGAATGGCTAAAGAATCCAGAAGTCATTAGAGGGAAAGGGGGAAGTGCACAGATATACAGGGAAAAAATTGTCACAATTTCAGTGAAAATTGAGCTGGGAAGATACACTTTTTAAAATAGCTCACTTAATATGAGAAATCTTTGAAGAAAGGGAGAACTTGCTCACTATTCTGACCTGGGTGCTCAGGTTCAGTTGAAAAAAAAGCTGATGGCAGTATAAGCAAGAAAATGGACAGCAAATCTCAGTAAACCTGTGGAGAAGTTACTGAGGCAAAAAAGGATGACACTGGGCACCAAGCTAGAGCAATTATTTTGAAGAAGATGAAGCCAAAATTCAAATAAATAGGAAAAATACCAGGAGACACACTAAAATCCAGCTGGGAAGTCTTAACATTAGTCAGTGCTACTTGCATACTCATACCATGTTTTTCTTTGCTTTCTTTCAAAGAGAAAATTAATTTAAAAGCACTTTCAAAAAACCAACACATATCCTCATCAGATACCTGCAGTACCCTATCCAGTCCCCCTCCTACTGGCTATACCATTAACTTAGTGTTCACTATTCTAGAAAAAGCCAAAAAATACAACCAAACAACCAACAAAAAAAGGTAAGACAACAACAGCAACCAGTGATTTGAATTATAGTTTGTCTTCATGCAATAGCCAATCTATACCAAAAATTATCTGAAACACCTACAAGTCAAGTTTAAAGATTTTTCAGCTTTTATATATTTAGGATTGCAAATAATTTTACAAAAATAAACAACTAAGTCCGTGCTTTTGCACATTGACTTTTTGTAAGTTCAAAGACGGCTATTAAACAAAAATGAAACATATTACTTTGGGTCAAGGGTAAATGTGGAATGTATCATCTCACAGGAACTTCTTCCAAAAGGACAAGGCAAAACAGAAGCTACAGAAAAGGGAAAAAGAAAGAAGAAAAAACCCAACACATTTTGCAATCTTAATCATAGCTTTCTGGTGTTTTTTTAATTTCTTAAAATAGAAAAACATAGTTTAGATTGAATCAAAATATTTCTTCAAAACCTTCATATTGGGCTTACTGGTACCCTATGTAACCAACCAGTTTTCCTGTTGTTACCACTTCCGCTCTGCTGTTTGTTACATCCATTTATCATCTCCCTCTAAAATTAGCCTGAAAGCTCTTTGAGTCAGGAATGAGACCAATAAAACCCTCAATCCCTTCCAAGGCATTTGAACGTTCTGCTAATACACAGAGCATGAATTTATAGCTGTGAAATCCAACCAGAAGTATCTGCATACATACAGATACTTGTATGCATAATACGCATGAAAAACATATGCAAAATAGGCACAGGTGTTTTAATAGGCTTTTACTGTCTCCTCCTACCCTCATGTTCTATAGCTTTAATCAAATATGTCTTTTACATAGCTCCACAAAATTCTGCACTGCATGTACCATGTCTTGGAAATCAAAGCCATAAAACAAATCATGTTCAATGAGATAAGAATTTCACAACTGTCCAGCTGAATGTAATCACCAGCTGAATTTCATCAAAATTTATCTGGGTAAGAATTGAATAAAGCAAACATTTAAGATCTGGCTTACTGTAAGAAGTTTGTACAAGAAAACTCCAGATGCAAGCTGTGCATTTTATAGCAGGTACTTATGTCCACTTCTTGAACTAAATGATTTTTCAAGAATTCGAAAGAAATAAAAGGGAAAATAGAAAATTTTGAGGTAAGTCACAAACCATAATTCTGGAAGTAATTTGCATTCATGTCTGGATGCAAATACTTTTATTCACAGCAAGTCTTAACAAATAGCAATAATTGGTAAAGACACTGGGGGGCACCAAGCGTTTTAGGTTTTACTGAACTGGAATGAGAGAAAGAGGGGATTTAACTGGAGTTTCACGTGTATAGCTTTACCCAAGGCCCTGCACCTTTGAACCATAAGCTGTTATCCTGAATTGCTCTTACAGAGATTGTTGCAGCAGTAAAGTTAAATATTATTGAGCCTGGAAGTTAAATATTTTTAAGCCTGGAAGTCCAAGTTCTGTGGAACTGCAGGGCATTTAGGTGTCACACGTGCCTCTCTAAGTCCAAAAGCTGTACATACGCTCTGGATGTGAGCATGGCAATAATTCACAGGAGGACACATGTGGCTTCAGTGTTTCAGCTTTTCAAAAGAGGCAGGTACACTGTGAAAATAAAACTGCAGGCACTGAAACTGAGGATAGGAAAGAAGAAGAAGTAAAAGACTGACAGTCTGTTGTCAGTTTTCTGCTGAATTTGTACATACCAAGCCTGCCCTATGGATATCTTTATTCTCCAAGTGCTTTTGATTTTGACATCTGTGTCAAGCTGTGTCTCTAGCACCATTAACTTGATGTTGGTATTCAAATATTATTTAACTTTTCGAAATTATTTTATTAGAGCTGTTATTTGATTTAACAAAAGTGTGGGCATAAGCAAACCAACTCATATACTGTTTCTAAAACTGCTATTTGAGCAATCCCTCCATCAGGGGCGTTCTCACAGTGGAATCACATGGACTGTGCTAGTGTCCTGAAGTATCTTTGTGTATAGGAACAGAATAACAGTCCCAGTCTTTGCAGTGCAATTTAGCTGATTGAAAAAAAGAGGATTCTTATGTGTCACTTTTATCTCAGGTACATAACCTTTGCTCTTCTACAGAAGAGTGAGAAAGGAAACAAGGGATTTAATTAATTTGGTTATTGGATTAAGGGAAATATCTTACATAATCAGTAATAGGAACAGTAAACTTGTGAGGCACTAAGAAGTGGTCCCTATTTTAAAAAAATCTGTATTTTCCTATGTATGTCTGTGAGTAAATAACAAAAATTATGAATATAAATTTAAATTTGAATGCTTCGGCATTGAAGTGTTCAAACTCAATTTTAATTTTTGGGCAACGCCTTCAAGACTTAAAATAGCTTTTGATTGCAGGGAGCTTCTCTGGAGCATCAGAGTACACTACTGTGTATATGCAGATAAGCATACTGCCCTAGTCTTGATCACTTCATAGTTTTTCTCCTATAAATTTCACTTCTTTGCCTGCCTTAGCCTGCATTCCACTACACTGAAGGCAAATGCTGCCAGAACAGTCTTCTTAACAGCCACTTGGACTGTGCTACTCTCCAGTTCAAATACTATCTCTAGTATTGCTGCTCTTTACAGTTCCAGTTTCTTGGACTCTACTGTTAATTTTTAATGGCATTCATTATCCTCAGTACACTGATTACTTCTGGTCCTAAGGAGGACTCAGCTGAGTCACAATGTTCATAGGGATTGCGTACTAGATTTTGCAAATTACTTCTGAGCTCTTTGAGAGGACTTAAACCAACAAAGGAATAAGAAAGAGATGGTCAAGCGGTTTGCAAATTAGAGCCATTTACAAATGCACCATTTGGATTTCACATTTATACAGACTCTGAGTGGTTGGCATCAGTCCAGAAGACTGTTGTTGTTGAGTTTGCCCTCTTTTTACATCTCCTCTGTGGCTTTAGGACTTAACTCCAAAATTTGTATTTGTCTCTCCCCACATCCTTCAAAGATGACTATCCTCCCCTTTACCACTGCTTTAAAACCTATACTTTGCAATGGATTAATATGACATGCTGTGTGTGAAAAGAGTGCATAACTGGAATGTTTGGAAAACAAAAAAAGTTACTGCATCTAAATCCAAGTCACACATTCTCATCTCCTGGGAATATTTTACTTCCTAAATGCCATCCTCAAGCAAGTGCCAAGTTGCAGTGGTTATCCGGTCATTTTGATGTAGACCTTAAGGCTGCAAACACAACAAACATATTTTCCTTAAAATATACTAATAAAAGAGTAGGAAAAATAATTTTTGCAACAGTTTACATCAAGAAAAAAAGGTTTCTCAAGAGATAGTTATGGACGTCTTTGGTCTTCCACATAGAAACTTGAATAGGGTGGGTTCTTAAGGATCTACAGTGGTTTTTTCTTTCTGTATCATGTTAGAAGCTCATCTCCTGAAAATCTCAAATCCCTTTGTAAGTAACACCAGGCTGCACAAAAGAAGCCTAACTAGAAACCTATAAACACTGCACAGATCTTCCTAGAGTTTTCCATGACTTAGGAGCAAACCTAGGCACCTCCTTTCCCAGATTCCAGCCCAAGGAGCTGCTTCAAACCTCCACTCTTCTGCCCGACTCTGTTACCCTTTCCTCAGGGCAGCTCCTTCATAAAACAAGGGAGAGAGAGAGAGACCACTTCTTCCTGCTTCCCCAGCTCCAGCCCTCTGTGCTCCACTGGAAGGCTGCAACACCTGCCTCTGTCACCGTTCCTAGGTCTCTTCTCATTCTACCTACCTATTCAGGCTGGTTTAGATACTTCATTACTACTCTACCAAAAGAAAAGTCATCACAATCTACCTGGAGCTCACGATAATTCCTGAAAAGACAGGAAAAAGTACAAGATAAGAAACACATTTTGAATTTTTATTTTCCAGCTAGTGATATAATTTTATCAACATATCTGAAAACTCACAAGAGATACCCTAAATTCTGCTATGGAACAAATGAAATGCAATTTTTTTCTTGAAATTTAAGTTTAACAGAGGCTTGCTGTAGATATAAATTAGTTTTTGGGGTTTTTTTTTAAGATGCTTTGGAACCCACTGAACCAGCATTCATTGCTGGTGTGTAAGGAGGTATGAGGAGAAATTAATTTAATGGTTCCAATTTCAAGATGTATACAGTGAGAAAAATTCTTCACCTAATTATCCCTCTTGTCTTTTCATAACTTATTTTTATATCTGTACTGAAGAAAAATTTAGTCCTTAGAAATATAAACCAAACACACTCATTTCAACAAGCTCTTGGAAATCTTAGCTGTCTGAATCACGTTTACAAATGAGGAAACATATAAGGGTTTTTCTTTGGAGTCAATATCTTTAAGAAAATATTAATTTGCTTAGCCTTCCTGAACTGAATTGTTACAGAAAATACCAATGCTTGGTCCTCAGCTGTGATTCTATGAAGACAAGCAGCTTTTGGCAGAACAGCCAGGGAAATATGTGGGAAACAGGGAAAGAGGGAATTTTTTGAATGTAAATACTAACCTGTGGAAACCAGCCTGACAAAAGGCCATGCAACTGATATGAGTCTTCCAAAGCTTTTCTTAGGAATTCTTCTGTTTAGTACCAAAATTGAAAGCAATGTTTGTCTGCAGGGAGTTTGGTATGCTAGGCTAGGTCCTTAGCTAATGGATATTTTTGTAAATATTTAGAACCAAGTCATGGATCTCCCCTCACTAGAGGTTTCCCTGAACTTCATAAAGATGGAAAGGTATGCTTGAATTTGACTTTACTGCTACAGAGAATTTAGATGGGTGCCACATGTGTTTTTTAATGATTAAAAAACCCTCCTTTTTTCATCAAGAATAAACTTAGTACTTATAACAGTATCAACAGACTGTAAATTGTACACATTCTTTTTTTTAACAAAAATATATTTTAGACATTAAAAAAGCAACAGCAGAGTCAGACATGCCAAATAAATCACTGTATTCCTTAATCATAATCTAAACATCCTATCAATGCATGCACATTAATAAAATAAAGAAGTAATGAATATCCATGTGTTTCCACAATAAAACCATCTATGTGCTCTGGCTTAATCTGAGAGGGAACTGTGGTACCATACTGTAGAAATTCCAAATTCTGAGACATTTCTTTCCTAAAGATGAGCACAAAATGAATGGCACCTTTGATGCAGCCATGATATGAAATGGTGACCTTACATGGCGCAAACGAGCAGCACCCTTGTTGAACTGAGCTGCCTCAAACTGTTTTTCCTGTGCTTTCTGATGTGTACAGAAGTCATGGAGAGTAGACAGGCAGCCAACTCATTTTCCCTTGCCATCCCACCACAGGGTACCCAAGAAGGCAATTCCCAGTCACCTTGCGGATGTGCTCCTGCAGCCCCTTGACCCCGTACATCCTCAGCACGAACCAGAGCTTCAGGGAGCGGAACCTCCTGCCCAGGGGGATTTGCCAGTGCTGCAACCCAGAGAGAAGAGCCCATGTCAGAGGCCACCACTGCAGTGACACAGCAGAAAGCATGCTCTGCCATGGTTTTGAAGTGAGCCACATTGCCACATCCTATGGGCGGTTGCTGGACGTGGATCAAATAATAGAAGAAATACCTATTCTTTATTAATCCCTGTTTATTAACACCATTTAATACTCAAAATTTTCAAATTAAAATTGGCAAAGGAGTTCGGAGTCAGAATGGAAAGGTCACATGGCAAATCAAATTTTCTTTGTGCATCCTGAATTCTCCTGAAAGGCTTTAGAAAAACAGGTATCTGAGAAACTCATGTACATTGGCTTGTTTAAAGTTGTGGGGCTAGTATCTAGAAAGACAGGCACGTTTTCCATTTCAAAACAACAGTGTTTCCATGGTAAGAGATTAAAATAGAGATGCTTTTAATTTTTTTTAATTGTGTTGTTCACTATGTTAAAGAAAAAAACCACCAAACCCACAACTTTAGAAAATTTCTTTATGCTGACTAAATCTGAAGATATTGCACATGCAAGACAATTTCTGCCTTTAAGCATTTTTTTTTCAAAACACAAAAAAACCCCCCAAATTTCTGTTTGTTAAAAAATTTAGTGAGCTGCATCCTTCTTGTAAAGAAACATAAAGTTTGGAAGTTTATGGTACTAATGGAAAATAAAGTCCTAAAAATACATACAAGTAATATTATTAATTATTACATTGATACTGTACTTACCCGATAATCTGTTACAAGACCTGGAAAATAAAGAAAAAATGTTCATTTGCATTATCATCACAACAGCCAAAGACTTCAATCATTCTAATGTTATTGAAAAAGCAGTATCTTAGCTATCCTTTACATCTGCTGCAAACTTCTGCATCATCAGTGTCAACAGCACCACTAAATATCTAGCTGGGTACTTGGCAGCAGGTTAAATGAAGGTGCTTGCAAAACCTTCGTTCCTTAGCTAGACAAAATATGCCACTAACAAACAGTTCACAGAAGAAACACTATTTTTCTTTCAGTTATACTGCAGATACTATGGAGATGGCAGATCAAATATTATGTTTATTTTCTTCCTATAGGGAAAACAAGCAGTAGATAAAATAACTATTATTAATTTTGGTTTAAACAGTTTGCAGAAACCCCAGACTCACTTCACAACCCATTCTCTGCTGTGAAATGTCATTGCCTTTACCCTAGTGAACTGGTAACACTCTTTAAAATAATCCACTTCTAAATACCTTTTATACTCATGCATATATTTGTTGCTAATTCTTCAGGATATCTGCTAAGTGACTGGAAAAATTGACTCAGAATTGACCTGTTCCTGCTTGGAGAACAGTATTCTGCAATTTTTTATGGTTTTTCTTTTGATGGAGTGGAAGCCCCTTAAACAGATGGACTAAGCCACAAAGCAGTCCAGGAAGGCAAGCAGAGGGCATTATTAGCTGTCCTTTTACATAAGCACACAGTGTCAGGATTCACCTACCTTTTCTTTGAATCAAGGAATTCAACTGATTTCACAGTAAAGTAAACTTGAACACAGTCAGTTACTTGCTGTAAGTCAGTAACAGAAATTAAACTGACGTAATATTTAAAGCACTTCTCTAGGAAGCATCTGCTTAGCTTCCTTATTCTGCTTTATTTATTTGCATTGGAGTGTAAGTTTCAAAGGAGAGTATGTACTTGGATTCCTTGGGAAAATGCTGAATGTTCCTGGAATTGTTAACTGGAAGGTTGAACTGTAGCTTCTGAATTTGACCAGTATATGCCATTTACATAATTTTCAGCCTTTATGTATTCCAGGGAAAAAACCAAACAAGCTTTTCTGTGCTACAAGCTCTCTTGCCAATGTTCTCTCATTTGCAGCCAAAATATAGGAAAAAACAAGGTCCTTCTTTCCCTGTAACAGAAGGCCATTAGGTTCTTTAACCTGTCGCTCTGTTGGTTTCCAGATGGTAAAAAACTCAAATCCACAAAGCAACCAACAATCATTAACTTGTTCCTGGTCTTCTGGAAATGAATGTGGTTGTCTCTGCTTGGTAATGAGGAAAATCTATAACATTCCTATTCTTCTGCATTGTAGCAGCCATTTCTGTTTGATAGCTGCAAGACTGGTAGCAAAGAGAGTAAAGCAACTGGTGACAAATAAATAATCCTACGCTCCTGTAAGGGGCTATGTCTAATGATCCACAACAACGCCTTTCACAAGCTGTGAAGCAGAATGTAATCAATGATTAGTGCTTGATTCCTTGATTACAAGCCTTAGTCTTACATCTGTATTTAACTAGGAGGAACTGCATTGTGGGAGCGTATGTGGTGTTCACAATAGAGTATAAAGCTGCACTTTTCTAACACTGCCATGAGGATTTGACCTATATCCTAGGTTGCCAGGCAAGCTAGTATAATCTTTCTGGTGTGGTGATGCAAATCACATAAAATTATAATTAATGACAAAATAAAGACTCTCCCCTTCGGGACACATATAATTGCCATATGGTTAATAAGAGTAATTGCTCATGGACAGAGATATTTTTCCACTCATTTAAATTCTTGAGTGAGAGATAAGTGAATTCAGAAATACCACTTCATTTACTTAGTAAACCAGGACAGGAATTCTCAGACCTGAGAATTCAAGACCCTCCATTTGGCAAGTGATATTTTCAGGAGTGCTGACATCCCACAAATCACACAGGGGTTAATGGGGACTGCAGCACCTTCATGTAGCAAATTTGACTGTGTTTATTGAAGGAGTAAGTGTGGGTTGGAAGTTTAACCAGAGGCATTTGCATTTGAAAAGTGTTGTCCAACTCCTTAGAAAATTGGTATCACATGGAAATGGAGCATAGAAAAAAACTGGCATTTCTAGACTGCTAGTAATCAGCTGATCTCCTTGAAATCAGTATGTTAGATCACATAACATGCTATCCCACTTCTGAAGGCAAGATGAAGGCTAAAAAACTCTTTCTCCAATTGGGTGATAAAGTTTTTAGGCCAACTAGGTGGCCTTACTGAAACTACCTGTTTTTAAGAAAGGTTTGGTTTTCTTCAGGTGTTATTTAATCCAGGTAAGACCAAAAGTTCTTGTATCAGCACTATCAGTTGTCCCAAGAACATATTTTCGTTTTAGTTAAGGCTGGAATTTTTTCACCTGAAGATAAATATTTTTGATGAATGTTAAGTAAAAGCTAGTCCCTTAAGTGTATTTGCTGTAACTTGTATATTCCATTAAAAAAGGCAAAAAAAAGTATATTTTTTTCTTAATCATTTGAGCCTTTAGAAGGTAAACATCAGCTCCAGAAATACTGCATGTTCCTGTTTATTGCACTGTTCTATGTTTGCATTCCTTAGAAATGGAGGAAAGAAATAAAATGCAAGGTTTGTGCTAGTTCAGGATTAAGGCACATGAATCCATTTTTCCTAGGGCTTTTTAGTGAATAGTGGAATTCTGGGTGGTATTAATTTAAATGTCAATGAGTTCCTAGCCATAACAGGATGCACTTCTGAACACAGATCAGCACCAGCAATTCCAGGAAAATGATGAGGTTGAGTATACGGTAAGACCTTCTACAGATAATTCACTCTCTTCAGAATGTTATGAGGGAACTTCCACCACATGTTGACTGTGCACTGCTGTGACCTTCTTCACAATTATTCAGTTAATAACCAGATGTGTAAAAATGGGCTTCAGGAGGGCAAATACCGCTCTCCAGTGGCTAAGTATGTGCAAGGACCAGCACGAATCCATTAAGGAGCTTTGTAGAGAGCCTGAGATTTTTAAGTTCTTTGTGAGCATTTTGTAAAGAGCTTTCATGAACATTTTGTACAAAACAGACAGTCCATCCTTACCACCTTTCCCTATAGCCAGGGTAAGAGCATGAGGGCTACAGCACAATGTCCCAGAAAGCTATCACTCAAAAGCAGAGCACAGACAGCAAACACAGTTCACGCTTTCTTTGTAGTTTCTGGGAGTGTTTTTTTCCTCACAAGTGTTTCTGAAAAATTTGAATAAGAGCTTGCACGAATAACTAAGAAAAAAAGTCACAAACCTTAAAAACTCTAGAACCAAATCAGATCCTGAAATCATTCTGGAGAAAGATGTGTTGGGGAAGACAGGTTAAGGGACTTGTTACACAACACCCAATAATATATTTATCTGACAGCCAAAAGATAATAAGAATTTTCTCAACACTCCTGCAATCAATCAGTGGTAAGTCTGCAACTGGGGAAATCCTAATACAAAAGCAGTAATGCATAATGCTTTATGAAATTACTTTTCTTGTATTGCTTTTAACTAACTAAAATCTCACTAGACATGTATTTGCACTTTAATGAGCTTAGCTCCCTAGAGTGCTCAGAAAATGGAAACGGCCTCCTAAACAACTTGGGTAGTTTAAGAATTGCCATTTTCATCTTAAATCCTATTTTCCCATTAAATATCAGAGCGCAAGCAAAATAATAATAATCTCATTTAATTATAAAATTACCAGACTCCTGATGGTGATGCTGCAGGTAAAGAGGTTCTAATTTAAAGGCACCTATTAAATCTGATCTTTTTTTCACCCTGTATAAAAAAAGAAAGAAATCAAATTGAGACATTTAAGAATAAAGACTTAAGGGATTAAATTTCCACAAGAAGTGAAGTCAAATTGAATGTGTTTAAACTGGCATATTTCCTGAGCACAGCCTGTGCCATTTTCAGTGCTTTTTCACAGCCATATCAGTACTGTACTTACAAGCAGTTAAGTGTAAGGCTCAGCAGGAACGGGCAGCATAACTGCACGACTGCATATTTAAAAACAGACAAGAAACAGACATAGAGGATCTTTTTATGGTGATAGACACTCACACCAGAATGTGAGACTAGCTGAAGCAATGTTAATGTTTGCAGTCAACAGAAGTTGTCTTGAAATTACTGCAGTACAAAGCTGCGTGGGAAGAGCTGTTGCTTCCTAAACATCACACAAAGCTGCGCTGAGGCTTTGGGGGTGCTGGCCACCCTCTCTCCATGCTGCTGTGGAAGTAGCAAGAGCAGCCACTGGAAGGGACAAGCCCCCAGTTCTGACTCTGGCTCCCCTCTTGTACCACCCTGCCATTAGCTGGATACACAATTCCTGACAGGCATTCTACAGCACAATGTTACATTGAGAAGTGTAACTTACTATTGCCAGCTAGGGGTGGTGTGACTGGACTGAGGTTCAAAAGCCAGTGTGTCCCTTTTACAGAGAATAAAAGGTGTTTTGCCAGTGATTAATAACAAGATTTTTCTGGTTCATGGTTCATGCTGAGTAAGACTGACTCACCTCACAAATGTTGGGGTTTATAGAGGCAGAAGAAGAAACCATAAATCAAAAAGGGAAAGACTGCTACATCTTTATATTATGCCTATAAATATATTACAAAGTAAGCAAAACTTAACACAGGGATACTCTAAAAGACAAAAGTCCAAATCTTTTTTCTATGTTTTAATGTTTTAATGTAGAATTGTAAATTTCTAAGTAAAAACCTAATTTCCAATATTTTAGCATGTATGTATAAATGCACAGGCCAGTACATACTCACACCCTCATTCACATCTAGACTGTGGTCATAAAACATCTTATTCAAACAAACAAAAAGCTTTCGTCTCTCTAATGGTCAGGGAAGTACCAAGGTTAACAGCTAAGTATTTGCCTTCAGGTATGGGAAGTACATGGCTGAAAATAAGTAAACTTACGCATATGAAAAATAATGACAGATTTTCAGATAAAATAAAAACAATGAATAACCTAATTATTGCTGAAAATGTCCCGTGGACAAAAGGAAGAAAAAATAATTTAAACCAGGTTTAATTAGGATAAATATTTTTAACAAATTTTAGGTTGTTCTACTGTAGTTTATTTGAAGTATTTGATTACTTTGGTATATTTGTGTTTCAGTAGCTCATTCTCCATGCAGCTTATCCAAGTTACAAGCAATGTCTTTAGATGTTTTGTGAGCACTTTATTTCTTCTCCTGTAAGGTGCTGTATAAAACAATGGAATGGGTAACTATTCTGTAGCTACATCTAGCTTAGAACACACAAAAATGACATGGAAGTTTCCATAGCAGGGAATGCAGGAAGGATGCTGCTGCATTCTGCAAGCAGGTCCACACCTCAGGCAAGCCCTAAGTGCTCAGGAGGTCCACACCAAAGTGCTCAGTGCTCAAGGTCTCTGCCATAATGGTGGGCCCCCACCTTGGAGCCAAACCCATTGTGTCGCCTGAGGCAGCCCCTGAGAAGTCTGATGCTCTCACTCAGATGGAACTGGTAAGGAAGGAGGTGTCAGTACAGCTGGTGGCTTGCAATGGTAGCCTTTTCTCCTGGAGAAAAGTCCTTTACCTGCACAAGGTGTGCACAGGTGGATGACCTGTTGTCGGATGGCTGCATTACAAGACACATATGTGGCTCCAGAACCACACACCTCCAGGGGATAACACTGAGCTTGAGACACCTTGGACCCTGGTGATCAAAAATAAGCAGGGCTCCAACCTCGACCCTCCAACATTCAGAGCAAAATCAGGTATGATTCTTCAGCGGTCTGAAGATGTCTCTGAGCAAGGCAAACAAGGAGAGCCTACATCAGGAGCCATACAGTGGCTAGTGTAACAAGAAAAGTTGAGTGACTCTCTGTAGTGGGTGGCTCTCTGTTAAAGGGGCTCTGAGGCACACATCCACCAGCCTGAAAGATGTTCCCTGACTACCTCTCAGGAAGAAAATCATAGGGCTAGATGATTTCCAGAAGCCCTTTCCAACCTGATGAATCTGTGATCCTGTGAATATGAATTCCACAAATTATACTGGTAAACTAGAATTTTTTTAAGGCTGGATGTTATGCTAATAGACCAAGACCTAACTTAAGTAGCACAGATTCATATTAAGTATTCATAACACAAAATGCAAAAAAAAACCTCTTGGTGAAATAAGTAATGAAAATCTGTGAGAAGTGACTTGAATTGCACATCTGCAGCGTTTAACTGCCTCACTCTATTTTGTACATTTTTAATGAGAGATAAAAAGGTGACCTCATATTATGAACCAGCAGGAAAATTTCAGTTTGTGTTCAAGTAGATTGTTCAAGTTTATTCAGCTGGAGTTGGGAAAGTGAAATACAATTTCATTTCAGGCACTCTTCAAGACCAGGCTGGATGGGGCTTTGAGCGACTTGGGCTAGTGGAAGGTGTCCCTGCCCATGACAGTGGGATTGGAAGTAGATGATCTTTAAGTTCCCTTTCAACCCAAACTATTCTGTGTTCTATGATCTACAGATAAGTATTTCCTGTAAGCACCTTCTTCCAGTTACTGAAACACCCTTCCTAATCAAAAGTTAACACTTAAATTCCAAAAAGAGTAATAAAAGTAAAAAATATCAAGACTTCACAAGATTGTTATTTTCACTCTCTCTGAATGAAGACACTCAGTCCTATTTTATAATATTCCAGAATATCATTTAAACAAGTCAGGAAAACTGACTGTAGTTTCAAGACAAAGTGTCTAAAGGACTCTGGTATTTGAATATAGAATATACACCCTTCTTGGACTGGCTTTATGAAATTCCTTTTTATAGGAAATTGACTGCTCTTTTCTGTACATCAGGAAGTCTGAGAATATTTTACAAAAGGTTTATAATGAAATTGTCTCCAAATCTGAAACTACATCAGTGCCACATATTGCACTGAGTAGTAACACAATTACATTACAGATCTAAATGGGTAGATTATTTTAATCAGCTTGAAGAGAAAAGAAATGCAAGTGTTTATTGGGGAAAGTGCTGAGGAGTTTGAGTTATTTTGAAGTCTGCCCATCAATGGAACTCAGATTACTTTGATTCTGAAATGGTGTCCAGCGTTTACTGAACTCTTTCCATACTACCATAGTATTGTACTTATACTTTTCATGGATCCTAAGAGAATGTATCCTTCACAGTTACTTTTTCTTACCATCCTTCATCCTTTAGTGTTACTTTTCACCTCAGGGAGTGCTACAGTTGGTAAGACAGGTGAATTTTGGACGTGGGTCTTAGAATTAGCTGGACAATGGACTTGGCTTCAAGTCAAAGAGTACATTAAGTGTACATTTATTCTGTATTAAGTGAATAACCCCTATAGAAAAATGCCTATCTGACTTGAAGCCCAAGTGGCTATAGTTGTGAAATTTTTACTTTGAGTAAGGAGATGTTGCAAGGTCTCTTCAGAGTCCTTCTACTGGAATCTTCCTACCTATAAAAACAAGCATTTTATGCAATGGCTTATCTAAAAATAAAAACAAAAAAACCCAACAAGAAACAAAATGCAGAAAAAATATCTTCCTAAGTCTGAAGTTTAAGTTTTACTAAGAATAACCTAAAGTCACCTGAAATGGGAACTCAGAGTATGATTGTACATAACTTGTTTTACTGGAAAGCCAGGTAAAAAGCCTTTAACATAGTTCCACAGGGTTTTCAGGGAAAGCAGAATTAATGAGAAACTAAATTGTTCAGGACTAGACTGTGGTTCCTCATTGTTCTACAAACATTAAAGAAAATGATAGTGTATTGTCTAATTTGCAAGTGGCTATGTTTTTAACAATGTCTTTGAGTGATGAGAAAAAGATGGGAGGAACTAGCGAAGGAGTTTGTTTCAGCATCTTCCCACCTCCTTACACACAGAGACACAGCATGTTATGGGGTGCTGCCATTACTCATGAATTAGGGTCAAAATGTGAGCCATCTACCCTAAGGAAAAGAAAAAACCACAATGTGTAGGAAGATTTAAAATGCCTACATCAGCTGAAATATTGAAATAAAAACCATAATATATTACCTGAAAAGTCAACTTTGCCAGGGAAATTAAAAGAGATGAAGGTTAACCAAAAGCACCTGAGTGATCACTGTCTTACATTTATTCCACTTTTAAATAAGGTGACCTATTTCTGGATGATGTTTTGGAGTCTTCTTTTTTTCTCTTTTGCAAATTTTGTTCTATTACAACTGAAATAAATGTTTTCATTTATTTTGATAAATAGTCTGCATTTGTTGAATAGCTGTTTTGCTAACAAGTATCATTAATTGTGATGCTGGTAATCATTTAGTTTGGGGCAAAATAGGATCATCTATGGAATGTTTTTAACAAACCCATGCTATCATTACTGCCATGATACTTTGCTTTGTCTAGGGGTTTCTATTTCAGCACCATTTAATATCAAAATGTCTCGGCTGTCATCTGGGAAAACTGAAAGTCAGTACAAAATTACATAAATAGGCCTTTTTGAAATCAACTGCTTTTCATCAGCCAAATCTTCAACATTTTTAGAATGGCTTTTAAAAGAATCAAACAAAAAGAAATGTTATGGAAAAGAAAAGGAAGAAAGAAACAAAAAAACCTGTTTAGCATGCTGTTCATTGCACTGATATGCTCAAAATAAGTTTTTTTATTTATGTTTTAAACAGTCCCAAAATGAAGCAAGTATAAATCTTCAGATTTTTGGGGACTTCTCTCTCTTTTTGGAACATAATACAGAGCTCAGGTCTATTTCAAAACTTTGTGCTTTGGAAACTTGGATTAAATGAAAGTTTGAATTCTGTAAATAATTTATAAGATTTAAAGCTATGCAGTTCTCCCCATTTCAGTTGAAAAATATCAAGAAATGTCTACTGATAGAAAGGAAAACTAATATAATCTCATTTTTGTCTCTTGTAATGTTTCCCTTTACTGTAATACTTACCACATTGCAGAGCAGTCAAAATTCACTAGGAGCCATTTGTGAGGATTAAAGTTAAATGAATCTGCAAACTGAGAATGGATAAATAAAAACAGAATTACAAAAGAGAAAAGGATCCATGTGCTAATGATGTGACTTTGTCAAATTGTCTGTATAACTATAAATCAATTCCTGAATCAGGTCTTTATAATGTTCATATTGATGTCACCCTATTTAGTAACTGTTGGGAGTTAAATCTTCATTTATTTTGGGAGTGGAATTCACATTAGGTATGGAGTTAGGTTAGTGGTATTATCAACATTTTGAGTATTTGTTTACAATTATACTTTCTTGATACATATCTTGTGGAAAAGTAAATATCTTTTTGTGATCTTAAATAAATAAATACATTTGCATACTCAGAAACATTCACTGGGGTACACATCACATTTTCCAATAATAATTCCCTATGCTTTCTACGTCCAAGAATATGGAACTAATACACATAAAATTCATATATAGCAAGAAACTATATATGTAATTCAGGATCTGCACATCATATTCCTTCAAAAAATTACAACTGACTAAGAAGTTTGTTTTTTGGTTTTTTGGGTTTTTTTTTTGTTTTTTTGGTTTTTTTTGGTTTTTTTTTTTTTTGTGACAGGGTCTTTTCTTTCACTAGAAATTATTGTTTCATCTAAATCAAAAGAAAAACCACCAAAAAGTAAGCTCTTGCAGTAAATACATATTTATATACCATGTGCCAGGCCTGGTTTACTTGACATGTTTAGGTGGGGCATCAGAAGAAACCCAGGTGGGCAAGGATTTCAGAAAGGCTTTCTGTTTTAAGAAAGGCAGATGTCACCAGCCTTAAAAAGCTGGGGATGGGGACCCAGCAGCACCAAGGTCTGACTATTCCATATTGCACTTTTCTGTTCTCATTTGCTTCTCATAACCTTCCCTGTCACCTGTAAACAATTAACAAATGCTTCAATCAGAGAAGATGATATGCCTGTCTCTCTATTCATCTATCTATCCATCTATCTTGCTATCACCCTGTACTATATAAGGTAGGAAACCTATTCATGGTTGATAAATATTTACTCTTATGACAAATGCTGGCCCAGACAAGGGAGCTGTTTCATTTCCTTCAGGAACCAATAACAATAATTTTAAAAATATTCCCCCACAGGAAATTACAACAAGCTTCATTTGCTGATAAAAAAGAGACAAAAAGAAATGCTTTATTTGTGAGGGGGTTTTCCCGCCTCTTCTTCATTACTCACTGCCTATCAGTGTTGTGTTTAAACTTCTGGCTTTACCAAACAGTAATATTTTCTCCACTGATGTGGAAGACAAGGACTTATCTGACTGAGGGGAGCAGCAGGAAATTGAAGTACTCTTATCTAAGCAACTGAATGCCAAGTAGCTCAGCAAGGCAGTGGAAAAGGAACAGCAGTGCTGTTAAGGGAATATTTCATTTAGGTCTCTTGGTTATTAAACCCTGTCTGTTTGAGATACAGCTACTCGCTCTATACCATATGAATTTCAGGATGTAAGACGAAAACCAGACATAATGAGCTCATTAATTTGTCGAAATTATTTTTTTTCCTCATTTTTTGTGTAATGTAGGATGTTACAAATATGTCTTTAGCGATATTTGGGGAAAAGTTCCTCTTTTCTATTTGTTGATTCAGTACTACTTGTTATTCTGAACGACAAACTTCTTATAGAGGGGTACTCGCATAATCCCAGTATAAACCATTAAAAATTTAAAAATTTAAGTAATGCAATCGAATGTACAGGGATTGGTAGTGCAAACTGAGGTGCAGCTTACTCAGAGATTCTGGAAGAGACAATAATCTTGGGTGTGTAAAAACCACACAGATTCTATAAAAGAGCAAGGTTTCAGCAGGCTGCTAGAGAAAAAACACTCATTCACCTCCACTCCATTTAAAAGATGCCTGAATTCAGGGCAGATGAAAGCACTTCCTGCATAGGCTGCATCAATATGCATCCAGATATTTTCCTTATTACCTAAAAAAATAATTGAAGGAAATAAATCAAACAGCTGATTAAAAAGTCCAATTATTTTGCATGAAACCAAATGCCCGAGAGATTTCTCTTTGATGTTATTATTTTCCCAATTTGTAATTAAATTAAGAGATTAAATGTTTCCACCATCTGGGTTTTCATTAATATATAAATTATATAGATAACGTATTATTCTTCCTTCCCACTTCTACTGGAAAAAAGTTAAAGAAGCATGGAATCACAGAATATCCTGCATTGGAAAGGACCCATAAGGTCATCATATCTAGGTTTATCTTACCAAAATTAAGCAGCATAAATCATTTTGTGGTTTTGATTTAAGAACCATTATAAAATACACTTTCAAAAATGTATCTAGAGATTTAGCTATCATTTCTATGGTAATAAAACTACTTTTGCAGGAGCAGATAGAATATTAGCTGTGCTCCCCACTTCTAACTCATGAATCACACACACATTTCTAAGCAGTATTTTTTTTACATAATGATAAATGTGCATGCACATGCTTTTGAACTATGTGCAGTAAACTACTTGTTGCAAGGATGGAGACACTTAGGCAAAAGCAAGCACTGAAATGCTAAGAAAGTGCTACTTTTGATTAGTCACTGAATGGTTTCTGCAGAAATATTTTGGCATATGAGCAGCTCACGCATACTCTGTAATTAAGTATTCACACTCTACTAGAGAACACTATTTTAATGCACTCAGTAACAATCGTGGTCTATCAGTTTATGGCTGAAGCCCACGTTTCACTGGCCACCAAATAATTCTGATGGTTATTTCCACATACAGAGGTACATCCACTGAGATCTGCAGTTGGGCACCAAGTTCATGCTGAAATTTGCATTCTTGTGAACTAAATTTTCTTTTTGCAAGAATGCCTGGGAATGCCAATAAAATATTATTCACAACATCCCAAACTTAGGTTTATTTTAAAGCATGTTGAAAGTTTAACTGATTATCTATATTTAAATATACTTGGTTTGAGACACTGCCTTTATGTCATAGAACTGCTGCTCATGTATGCTAAGGAGAAAATTAAAAGAAAAGCTAACAGAAAAGGTAGCATGAGATTTGTGACTTCACTGCTATGCCATCCTTCTGCTGGGCTCTGCTACACAAGCAGGGAATCATTCAAGTGAAATACATGATAATTGCTACGCCTAAACGTATTGGTGCCACTATTTTAATATGTCTTTAGGAATAACACAAACAGCAAAATAATCTGTAGCTGCTAAGCAAACTACTAGGAACCTGTTTTAAAAAAGGACTGGGAGAAACCAAACCACTGGGGCTTGTGCTGAAAGGCAGCAAACCTCACAGAGCAAATGACCACCATGCAAGCCCCTGAATAAATTAACAGGACATCAAATCAAGCTGTGTTTCTATGAAGTTGCTTCCAGTGGCTTACAGCTATGGATTTCCTGTTCTAAATGTTCCCTTGAAGAGATATGGTGTGCTTTGGTAGCATTTTCATCAGCCAGCAAACATGGGATTTGACCAAGCCCTGCTGCAGATCAAAGCTTGACACAACAAACCATAACAGAGAAAGAAATACTTATGAAGAGTCCATGACTCGATCACTGTATTAAGCACACTGGCATTTGTCCTATTTTCTTGGAAGAGGAAGGAAATTGGGAAGGGGAGAGCAAGGATTAAGAATAGATGGGGGATTTTTGGTGCATATTTCCCTGCCTTTTATAGTTATTAGAACCAGGCAGAAACAAAGCACTTGGTGCAGAGCAGAACTAAGAGTTCAACTTTTCCCTGATATTCAGCATTGTTCTAGATGCCCTTGCAGGTACAAGGGCTTGAACAAGTATGTTACAAACTGAAACATTAGAGTAATTCTTAACTGACAGTATTCCAAAATATATCTCCCCCTAGAAAAGAAACCCTTAAGGCAATGTCCTCTAACTTTTTTAACAGCTTGAGAATGCACATTTGCTGCTTGACCTAATATTAGAAATAAAACTGTAACTGAAGGTCTCATCTAAAAGTAGCTTTATTGTATTTGGACACTGACACTGCATAATGTCCTGGAAATGACTCAGCATGGCTTAAACTGGTATCTGCAGTTTTAGAAAGAAGCAGCAAAGACTTACAAATAGGACCCAGTTCTAACAGTTTGTCAAAGGAGCAGCAAGGGGTGGTTCCAAGTGTTGCACAGAACTGCAGAGCCAAAAAAGAAAAAAGTGTTACAGCACAGAAAATTACCAAAGGAGAAAAATGGTCTGCAAAGGCAGCAATAAACAAAAAGAATAGACACTATAGAACAAAAAAAATATGTTAGTCATTAGTGGAACTCAAGTAGTCCCTTAGTGGAACTTTTGAGACTGTGGGTGGGTTTTTTTCAAAGCTCCCATAACAGTCCATTGAAGCAGATGCATACAATAAAATGTTTATATAAAATTGAGTGATAAGTACTGTAATGTAGGCACAGTGTTGTGCTAATGCTATACTTTATGTATTTTCTGTATGTTCCACATGCTTGTTGTGTGGCTCAATACTACCTTAACATATGCAAATCCCATCAAAATGACTGCAGTTCATGGTACATGAGCAAATTCTGAACCTGAGCAACTCAAAGGTGCTGGAATTATTTTTGACAGAATAGATCGACAAATGTTGCTGTCTTGATCAGAGCCACAGTTCTGCAACAGAGATTTGTAACCAGTTTATGCTCAAGAGATCTGCAACCTGGAACCTGTTCACTAGCAGCATATGTTCACTACTTGGCTTGCAAGACTATTTCACAGAGAAACTTCTTTTCCCAGATCCATCCTAAAACACTGGAACAGTTCTTCCTTCGTTCTGTTAATGTCTCATTTAATGTATCCTTCTGTGTGACCAGTGGGCCAAAAGCAGAGGTAACATGCTGAAGTTTCACAGTAGAAAGAGAATATAACTAGGTGAAAATGAGCTATTGTAATTTATTGCGAATATGCAGGTAGAATTTTAATCAAAAAATCCCCAACTACCAAGGGCATATAAACTGACATTATTTTATTTTTCATTGCTACACTTATGTTTTAAACACCCTGTCTTATTTCTGAAAGCACTAATAAAGGCTGAGTATGCTTTTTGTCTTTTACTAGATTTTTTACATAATAAAAGACACTTTACAGTTTAAATAGACAAATAAAGTATGCTGTGTTATAGTCGGAGTATTGAAATATAAAAGAGTTAGACAATTTATCCAAGGTCACACATAAACTACAGAACAGCTAGGACATGATTATAAAAATGCCAAACCCAGAATTTTGCTTCTTTTATTTTAGTATTTCTGGTTACCTCTTCTGCCAAGTACACTGTCAAGCAAAATATTTTGTTCCTACAGTTTTTCCCTATATATCTGGAACTAGATACATTTTTCTGTGTGTACGTGTCCCTTAGCAAATTCATGATGAGACCAACAAGAAGAGAAAGGAAAACCTAAATTATACTTGTCCATCCACTGGACTTTTCAAGAAACAAACATTCTGTCCCAGAAAAACTTGGAAAAAAGTAATTACTAAAATAAAAAGGGGACAAATCAGTATTTTTTCTACATTAAGCTACTAAGAATCAGAGTTTGGAACAAATAGAGTTCTGAAAATGAGAAGCACATTGTATGTATATAGTTAGTAAAATCCTAAGCTAACATACTTTTCCTTCAATAGAATCTGATCTTTATCTATACTGGGCCCTCCTATATTCCTGAGACACAGAAGAACAGAAAACTGAAGTGCCTTGAGGTACGTTTAAGAGTTCTCTGGAAGACTAATCATCCACTGATAGAGGGTGCTTTGAAAAGATTGTAGGGTATTTTTTTAAATAGCAGGAAAATATTTGGTTTCTATTTTTCATAAGAAGGCATGTGTGTATGGAGTGAAAATATATTTATCATAACGGAGGGCACCATGATGAAAATGCCAGGTTTTTTATATGCATAAGGAATATGCATATATTGGGAGATAAAAAGAGTGCACTACAGACTTAACTCTGCTTTTACACTTATATTTTATGGTAATACGGTATGAATTTTCTGACAAGATTAGAGTGAAATTGCTTTGGTTAATCCAGCAATTAAAATAATGACGGAAATTTCATATCAAAAAGTTACACATTGATAGTACTTTTGTGCTGCAGTTAAGGTATTCTCCTAATCAGGATAAGAAGCATGTTTTTTCAGTGAGAGATTATATGAGTTGAAACATATGCTTAGTTGTTTAAATAATGGCTTATTCTGTAAAGTATACCTCAATTTCTAAAATAATTTTGTTTTCCTCTCTGCAGGTGTCTAAGCCTCAAAGCTACTTGCCTTAATTCTCAGAAACCACTTAGAGTGACACCATCTGCCCTTGTCAGGACTCTCATTACCCCGCCCCAGTACTACAGAATGAATCTAACTCAATTTGTAGCCTGTGTAACACCAGAAAAATCACATTTGTGCAAAGGGCAGGGGACAGACTGCATCACAGAAATGGGACTGATGGCTCAGTATAGCCTGCAGGCCTTTTCCTTTTCAGGTTGTGCACTTCAAATTTGACTCAGCCCTTGGCTGTGAATACAAAGCAGCTAAAATGCTTAACTCAGTCATCTCATGTATTAGTTTCCTGAAATGGAGAGCTATGTCAGGAAACATACATGAATCTTTATGATTCCTGAGAGCAATTACTCTCAATCTTTTCAACTGGAAGACCTCCTACAGCTATTGAAAAAGATGTGGACACATTTTGCATGGTTCCACCACAAGCTTTTCATTTGCAAATAACTAAAATGAGGCAGAACTTTCAATGTTCGCATATTGTTTTTATTTTCTCCTATTCAGTTCTTGCCAGCTTGCACTCATGAGAATGTCTGTGGCCTGAATAAAACTGCAACAGTTCTCTAAACCACCATTCAGCATTTTACAGAACAGCAATCATTCACAAACTGTGGGTTAAGAAACATCACCCTAGACATCTGTACGTGTCTGAAGAATGTTTCTATCAAATGGAAATCTGTGGTCAGGATCTAAGTGTTCTACTGAAAAGATGGCTTCTCTATCAGTCTGATTCTGATTTGTTTCCCGAGTGAGTCTGGATACAAAAAGCCTGCTTCTTAATATCCTGTGGATCACATTCAGAAGAGTCATTTCATCTAAAATCAGAGAGATTTCATGCTGGGCAGCAGGCAATTGTGTTGTAGCAGCTTTATACTGGTTGAGGTCGTTGAAGTATATTGTATATGCCAGCTGCAATCTGTCAGTGCTGACTTATGAAAGACAGCACAAAGCTCACAGGCCACCTACACACGTTTAGGTGAGCCAGGCTTGAATGCAGTGGGTACTCTATCTGAATTTAGGAGTGCTTAACTTAGTGGTCTTCACTTTTGAGCATCCCAGCCAACAGTCTGCCAACACAGAGGTCTGTCTCAAGCGGGGAGCACAGGGCCCAACTGAGGGAGGCATTTACACACAGGTGTAAATTAACCACCAGTGTGTGTTTACAGTTAATGAAATGGACATGAATTCAGCATGTGCTTTAAAGCTCCCCCTTTAATTTGGGGCCAGATCAAGGGCTGCACATCATCTGTGCCGGAAAATGGCTCCTTAGTAAATTGTGGCAATTTTAGTGCCTCAACACCTGACATGGTTAAGTGCTTTGTTTGCACAGTCTGCTTGCTTTACTATATGAAAATACATCTGTTTCAGTTTCTGCAAAAGTATTTTGAAAGAGACAAATTAACACAAGTCTGAACTCAGAAATAAAAGAAAGAAAACAAAAGTAGAGATCAGGGTACCCTAGTGGTAACAGCTTTTACTGAACAAAATGATATACACATTACTAGTGCTACAGGACATTGATGGTGGGTAGGAATGCAAAGATTCCTTTTAAAGACAATGCCTGTCCCCAAAAAAGGCTGACTGCCAAATCCTATGTATGTGAAAAGCAAACCTTTAGTTAACAGATTGCTGTAATGACAGAATCTGTTTCACATCAAGCTAATCTGACCCTGATTCTCCACTCACCTCTACAAGGAAAGCACTGCTATCAAGTTCAGTATAATGATTCTTCATTTATTCATTAAGACTAAGAGAAGAAAGATGCCTATAAGGCATTGCAATTTACTTGTATTTTCTTTTTAATCCCTTACAAAACCTTTTCTTGCTTCTAAGGGAGACTGTAGCAGCTTGAATGCAAACAAGACGTCTTCATTAGGAATGACGTCTCTGCTGTCACAAGTCTCTTCAGGCAGAATTTCTTCCATCAAACTTGTTGCTTTGATGTTGGATCACTCCCCTTAGTGAAGGATCAGTGAATACAGGGAGACAAGGAATCAAGTGGCGTAAGGTGTTTCCTTGGCAATGTGCATATCTTTGTCGCCAGAACAAAATACAACAGCATCAAATTACTCAAGAACAAAAGAAATGGAAAGGCTTTTGAAATCTGCAAGCCAAAAAAGGGAGCACTAATACAGTGCATGGACTACTGCTCAGCATGACAGAGAATTAACACACCTTTTGAGTTAAGAGGCCAGCCATACTGATAATGTTTGAGCTAAAGCTGACATATTTTATGTACACAAATAAATGGAAGACTCGATACAGGCTGTATGAACTCAGGCAGAGCCTCTGCTGTCTTTGAAAGCCTGCAAAGCTAAACAAACAGAGGAAAAAAACCAGCAGTTAAATCACCCTCTGTAAAGGTGTCACTGAATACGTAAATTAGAAACTTTTTTCTCTTTTTTGCATAGAAAAATTAATAAGGCCTGAATATTTGTAAAGGGCCGGTGGCATTTTTTTGCTAATGGACAAAAGCTGAGGAAAAAAGACAATCACAGTTATTGCATGAAGATATCCTGCTGTACTTGTAATCATTTAAAATTAACAGTGAGATATAGAAACAGGATCCTGTGTAAAGTATTATGAGCTGGGATCATAAAACAGAGAAATAAAACATGCCTTGTGGCATGTTCTTCACCTCAATAGGTGTGTCCCACAGAAAAAAAGTTCTTTTTGGAATCCCTAGAAATGCTTTTTTTTCTCAGTCAGAATCTTGTTATATCGTAAAGCAATTGTCAGGATGTGCTTGGTCATCCTAAAGACTCACTAGTTCTAGGCACCCTAGAAATTAGCAGTGTTCTGCACATATGAAAATCACTTCTCATTCTAGTCATCCTCATATTACATAAAGGTTAATAACAAGAAGAGTAAAAAGATTATATTTTCAAAAGAGCCTGGAGAAATTTAAGCTTCTTTGTCCCATTTGGCACTAATCCATGAGTATAAGCAAGCTTAATCTTCTAATTCTTCTGAAAACAGTTCATAGAAATTTAAGTCACATTATCCGTTTTCAAAATGTTACAACATGAAAGAAAAGAAACAACCATTGTCAGACATGACTTTTCTGTGAAAAAAGTGACTTATTTTTGAATCTCTTAAAAAAATCCCATTTCTGAAGTTCTCAGTTTCTAAATTAATTGTGTGAGGATTTTTTCTTCAGTGGAGGCCAGTAAAAACATATTTTCTGTAGCATGTTATATCCCTTACGACATCTATGCAGCCTGTGGTCCTTATCAAGTTTAGTAGAGCATAATGCTTGGAAATAAGCAAAGAATTTTGTTGGTGATGTACAAAACCACAACAGAAGTTACTTACTTCACGGGAAAAAACCAAATGGCAAAATCTTGTTTTAACTTGAAGTAATAACAGTATTCTGAACTGGTAGGAGGAGCAGATCTGATGAATAAGCAATTTTTCTTTTTGATCAGGTACTTATCATGGTAGAACCAAACTTTAGAATTTTATCTAATCTAACAATACTCTATGTCAAAACTTGGGGGATTATGAGCTTAAGCTACTGATACATAACTATATTTGCCTTTGCTGTCCTGCTGTGGAAGCAGGAATCTTTGGGGAAAAAAAATAAAAAAATGGACAGATAACAGGAAATGGTGACACCTAAAGTTTCCACAGCTGCATTCTCTATAGCTCATTTGCTAGAGATTAATTACTTACTGACAACTACCTGATTCTGTCTGATCTTGATAATATTTGGGGTATATTATGGAGATTCATTTTTTTGCTAAAGTACTATCAGGAGGAAACTATTGTTTCTTGAAGACACTTGACCTTGAGATAGCATCATTTAATTTATTGCCTTTGAACTTATTTTATTTGTAAGTAAGTTGGAACCTGAAAAATAAAGGTAAACAGTTCAGAATTCAGGAATTAGGACATTATACCACTGCAGGACTACATGCAACTATGAAATTGACCCCAAACATCATTTTGCTGAGAAGTGCAACCAGCTGCTCAAATTATTTTCTCCTCCTGCACAAAAGAATACTTATGGAACCTCTCCTAGTATTCTAGTCCAGCTGCCTACCAGTGCCTCCGTTAGGGATGAGACCATCTATTAATACCAAAAGAATCTTATCCACTGATTTGTTAAAATCCAGTACTCACAAAGAATGGTATAAGACCAGCAGCTTTGTCTTCATCCAGTACTTTCTTCAGGGCTGAACCACAAACGCTGAATGTGTCATCTGAAGGAACATTTTTAATCTTCACAGCACCAATTAGTGCAGCTCTTTCCACAGATGAATGAGCCTACAAGGAAATGGGCAAGTTTTAAGACCAACACCTTTTACTGGAATGTAAGAAGTTCATTTGAATTTACAAACTAAAAAAGTAAGTCCTTTCAAGTAAAGCCATACTTGAGATATTAGGACTGTTGATGGTATGTAATAGATACATACTTCTCCACCTTTCCTATCAGTAGATGGACACATATATATATACATAAATACACACACACACAAAATAAACTAATAGCAACCCCTGACACACCCTTGAGAACACTGCCATGATCACATTAGACAAGAGTGCCATTAACCTTAGTGAGAGCTTTAATTTACATGGTAGGATTGATGCAGAGCTTCAGGATTTGGCTCTAGATCAATCAAAAGATGTGCAGACAATCATCTTGTCTGATAATGATTCAGGTGCTTGCTAGCATATTTTTATGGTGTATAACTTTTCTGAACTCTAAAATTATACTTGTCACAGTATGGTACAGACAGATATTTTCTTACATGACCATTTTTGTTCTGATTACATACTAACTACATTGTGGTTCAATCATTCATTCACTTTTTTAGGCAAGTAAGGATCATGCCCAATATGTTATTTTATTCACAACATACTTAATTTGAATTCCCCTGAAATAATATTCTTTTAGAAAATAAATCACATCTCTGTAAATAAAAACAAAGTTATCACTAAGAAATTCTCATAAATTTCTGAGGTACAATAGAATTATAACAGGATAAAAACTCCATTGACAATGAAAGCTACATTAGCCACAAAAGAATCTCTTTTAAAGCATGATTAAAACAAACAACCAGAAAAGCTATTTTATCTTCTATAATTTCATTAATCATCATTAATGTGAAAGAGGAAAATGCTTCATCTTTTCCTATCATGACTATTCTCATTCACAATCTCCTTGTTGATTTTTGCCAGTGCCTAAGACTGCTTATTAATTCTATTTTAATTTAGCATATAATCACAAAACAATCCAGAATTTTGTTGAACTAGACTACATGAAGTTTTTGCCTTTCAGCTAGACATATTTGTGGAATTACATGTTTTAAAGGCAGATGTACCATTAATTTGTGTCTCAGTAGTGCCCCTTTTCAAAGTGCTTTGGTAACTAATCAGGCACCAACTTGAGAAAATTTGGAAGCCTAGACTTGAAATATAACTTTTTAAGTGGAAAAATGAGGTGTGTGGCATAGCAATACCATACTTCGTTCAAGTGTATAATGAAAAATGTATTTTAGAAATTATTTATACTAGAATTGCAAATAAGCAAACTACAATAATACACTGAGGTCATTAGCCAGTCAGAACCTCTAAACTGCTTCATCAAGACTCAAAAATTGTAACAAGATTCTTCTTTAAATGCATTCTGGTATTGTTGGGCTCTATCAGTGAATAGCTTTCCCTTCCACTGAATGGTTTGCGTTGAACTTTCTTTCGTGGATTATTGCCTATGAGTCACACAGGTCTGTTCTTAATGCAGAAGGAACGGTGAGCTTGGTAACAATCTGCTTGGAAAGGTCAGCAGTATCTTAAGGCAAATCCTTCCGTAAACATAAGATCCTCTGACCTTCAGTAGGCAGGAAGGCCTGTCAGTCCTCATTTCAGGTCAGCCTCTTATATGGGACAAAAAAGTCAAAACAAGTAAAAGGTTTTGTGCATCACTGGATCGGTAATAGCTCTGGGACTGGTGGTCTGCGCAATACTGACCTTAGGGTCCCAAACAAACAAAAAGAAAGGATAAATATCCTTTGTACCTCTTGAAAGCAGTTATCTTTTCTCATATTTTCTTGTCTTGAATCTTCTCACCATGCAAGTGTAATCCCTCTTCCCACCAGCAAAGAGCAAGTGTAGTGTTAACTTCTACAGTGCTCTCTAACATATACTTAGTAGTAAATCAAAGAAAGGCTGAAACTTGGCCATTTTACTCTGCACATCAGATATTACTTTAAAATAAACAGTAAGTACTAAAAGAAGGGTTTTTTCTGTATCATTGACATGTAGGAAAGAAAATGTCACACATATTAAGAGAAACAACATTGCATGGCCCTTCAGTAGGATTACCGTGTTAGAAACATAGCAGCAGCAGAACTCACATGGGCAGAATTTGTTTTCATTAACATTAAAAGCCTCTCATAGTCATGGCCTGCTGAGAATTTAGTGTAACTCAGTCTGCTAAATACCACTCACAGTCAGAAACCAAGGATTATGTTTTATGTTTCCTTACAAGATTTCTTAGTTGGATTGGCAGATGGATATCTTAAAGGTTTTCTTTTTTTTTTTTAAAGAGAAAAAAAAATGTTTTTGCTTCAAGTACTGTGACTGATTTGCTTTTATTCATGGATTAGGTTTTTCTGTGTACATGCATCTGTACCCATGCATGCATATAGGAGGAGGATGTTTGCTTGCACATGTGCTTGTAGGAGGAAAATACTGTGTGCACAGATGGACATAGAAGACTGGATGTGACAAAAGGTACCCTAGACTTACTAAACACGACTGAAATTAATACCTTATTTAATTATCTTTATTTACTTCAAACAAGCTCTTTATAAAGACACTGACATCTGGATATTTATCCTTTATATTATGATAGCACACATGACATTGCAGTTCCGTTACCACAGAATCATAGAATGGCCTGGGTTGGAAGGAACCTTACAGATCAACTACTGCAAATCCCACTGTCATGAGCAGGGACATCTACTGGACCAGGCTGCACAGAACACACATCCTGCCCTTGAACACCTCCAGAGGTGGGACATCCACAACTTCTATGGACAACCTGTTCCAATGCCTTGCCATTCCCACAATAAAGAATTTCTTTAATATAATCACCCTACTCACAGTTTAAAATCATTCTGCCTTGTTCTGTCACTACATGCTCCTGTAAAAAGTCCCCCCATATCTGTCTTATAGACTTTAAGTCATAATTATGTCACCCCAAAGCCTTCTCCAGGCTGAAAAATCCTAATTCTCTCAGCCTTTTCTCACAGAAGAGGTGCTTCATTCCTCTGATCGTCTTGATGTCCATCCTCTGCACTCACTCCAACAGGTCCATGTTCCCCCTATGCTGGGGACCCCAGAGCTGGATGCAGCACTGCAGGTGGGGTCTCACCAGAGCAGAGCACAAGGACAGAATCCCCTCCCTGGCCCTGCTGGCCATGCTGCTTTGGATGCAGCCCAGGACATGTTTGGCTTTCTGGACTATGAATACACCTTGCCAGCTCATGTCCAGCTTCTCATCCACCAGCACTCCAAAGTCCTTCTGGGCAGGGCTGCTCTCCATCTGTTCATTCCCCAGCCTGTGCTGATACTGGGGGTTGCCCTGATCCAGGTGCAGCACCTTGAACTTGGTCTTATTAAACCTTATGAGATCCCCACGGAGCAGTTTTCAAGTTTGTCCAGGTCCCTCTGGATGGCATCCCATCCTCAGGTGTGTTAACTGCACCACTCAGCTCAGTGTCATCTTCAAATTTGCTGAGGGTGCACTCGATCCCTTTGTCTGTCATTAATGAAGATGTTAAACAACACTGTTCCCAATACGGACCCCCGTGGAACACACTTATGATGTACAGTAAGATTTAAACCACCAAAATCAAATAGTCTCCAATCCAAAGAGTTTATACTAAATTTACCTGCCTAGTCAGATGGCAGAAATTGTTAAGTATAGACTGTTTCCAAGTTAATGAGAGATACTCACCTGATCAGAAGCATAAGCCACTAGCCTGCCCATGATCTCTGTTTCTGTCAGCTCAGGCTTCTCTGACTGCACCTGTCTGATAGTCTTTGTCCTTGCAGCAAGCAGTGCAATCAGGGTGGCCTCACTTGCACTTCCCTGTGGGATAAATTGAGGGAAAATTCAAAATGAAAACATTGCAGAAGAAGAAAAGCGACATTCATTCTGTGTTAATCTGTGAAATAGTTAACAGAAAATGCAGATGAGAAACTGTGCAATTTCATTTTTTTAGAAAATATGTCTGCAGCAAGGGAGGAATCTCTGCTTGATCTTGGTCGCCTCCTTCCCAATGCCTCTGCCTTTTCTCTTAAATCTCTATACTTGTTCAGTTTAGCCAACAGCCTTGCAACCAAGTGCTACAAAGTTGGACTCACTAAGACTTAAATGTGAAAAGGCTCTCAAACCAGGCACCAGTCTGCTCTTAATTCATAACAATGTCAGAGTAACTGTTGATTTCTGTTACTCTGGATTTCTGCACATCTAATTTCCATCACAACCTGAATGCCAACTCTCACTTCTATCAAGACACATGCCTAATTATACGCCTCCTTTCATGTTAGAATTACCTTGGGCAAGTAAATTATTGTGACTAAAAGAGAAAAAAAACACCGAAAAACCAAAACTGCTATGATTCAATATAGCTAATTGTACTTCAAAGTATTAGTTATGTATGTTTTCTTCATCACCAACAAAGATGAAAAGAACAGCGACACGTTATTTCTAAATTACACTTTAACTCACAAAACATCAGTTTAAAATGTGTCTTGGATACACTGTGATAAGAGAAATAATTTTTTGTATCAATTTATCAGTAAATTTCACAGAAATTCTTTATACAGTTTTCATCTAGAAAATGCACCTGAAACATGCCCTAAACTACTCTTTTAAACTATACATAGCAGTTTGTAAATACACATTCATAAGTTTCAATGTATTGGGGAGTCTGTAAGCAAGATGAAGTTTTTAGATCCTTTCAAAGTTGATTAAACATCATGTGAATCATAACAGTGCTCTGAATAGAGTCACTCATTTTAGTAACTCTGTCTCAGAAATAACCCCAGTGTCAACAAACTAATTTTGGAGTGATGTTTCTTGTCCTGTACCAAAATTCTCTCCTCCCTCTGTTGAAGACTTGAGTATACTTACTAATTACAACAAATAATTAAATATTTGGGAAGCAGTTTTATTTCTCTGAAGGTGAGCCTGATCTGACAGATTTCATATGTGAGAAAGTCTGAACTCACTGGGATCATTCTCCTACACTGAAGTTGGCTGAGCTACTCATATGAGACCAAGCTCCCTTCTACACATGTCAACATCTCAACAGTGAATGAATGCAATCCAGCTGAAATTCAACGTAATTGTAGTAATCAGGGAAAAGGACAGTCCCGGAACACTCATTGAATGCATTGCCAATGATTAATACATTTTTTCTGCCTTTCTGGTAGTGTGAGATTTGAGGAATGTAGACCCCAAGGCATTAACACAAGCTGGAGAGTTTTGTGCACTAGTTTGCATTTTTTGTGCATTTTTTATACCTGCTGCTGCTGCATACAGTATTTCAGCAACTGAGGGAATGATTACAGATACAGTATGGAATTAGGATACAATTACTCCTTTTGGTCAAGTAAGGTAGAACTTCCATGCGGAGGCAAGGGGCAAAGGAAATTTGGTCTTTTAATTACAGAAAACATAATTTGGCCATCTCCTCAAATAATGTTATTCTGTGTATGGTCTGTAGCAAGACAGAGCTCTCATCACAATATCAGAACATGGAGAAATCTTCCTACTTTTTCTGTCTAAAAAGTCAAAATAGATGAAATAAAATAATCATTTACACTGTAGGTGCATTTCCAGGATATGAATGGAATACACATATTACAAAAATGGGCATTAATACATAAAAGAAAATGGCTGTAAGAAATTATAAAGGCTAAGGCATTAATTTGATATCTGGAAATTTAGGCTCCCACTATTCTGGTGATCACCTGGTGGCTGGGTGGTCAAATGACTTAGGCTGAAGAATAGCTTCCACTTCCTAAGAAGTGCACCCAGATATCCTGGCTCTTCATCTATACTGGTGCGTAGTCAATGTATACAACAGTTCTTGTATGAATTTCCTTTTACAGAAACAAGGATGAAAAGAAAAGGGCATATTTCCCAGCTGAATTTTGCCTCCTCATATACAGCTGGGACATAGCCTAAAGGTACCTGAATCCAGCAACCTGGAAATGCTTTTGGATGTCTCACAATAGACACAGGCTTTTCCCCCTTGCCTCAGTTTCGATAAATCACATTTTTTATACTGAGTCACCTTTTTTACACTGAAGCTTTTCCCACTGCTTGCATTGCTTGGTTTGCAATACTCTTCTATACACTTGGCACCAAAGTCTTGTGCTAAATATTTTTGAGGGAAAAAAAAAACGCCTTGGTTCTTGAACTACTTGGCTAACTGACAAGTAAGATAAATCAGCAGTGTTCTTTGCCAGGCCAAAGATAATTTTGTCTCACCCCTAAAATACTTTTTCTTTGCAGAGCAAGAAAACTCTTTAAAATTCAAAGCAGGTACACTTTCCAGCAATTTATCTAGAATGAACAGCAGGTTACAAACTTCAGGAAGAAAGTTGCTTTCTCACTTATTTTTGAAAGCTGTTTTTTCTCCTCTTGAATGCTGTATTCTGCATTAAGTGAAGGATGATGATACCTTTGCTTTTACCACAGGCAAACAAAGGTTGCCATGGCAAGCAGGCTCAAGAGGCAGAGGAAATATCAGCAAGAGCTGATGTTCATGTCCACCAGAGCTCTGAACTAAAATTTTCTTTCATCTTTTACCATTTTGAAGTGTCATCTTGCACACAACAACAAAGTGCTTCATATTGACAAAGACTTTCAAATGTAATTAAGAGGCAATTTTCACAGGCTCAGTTTTACCCAATAGCACAATAATTACTTGGCATTTAGGAACAGAATGACTGGCACTTTCACACACATTGTCTTTGCCTCACACTCTCTTGCTTGGATCATTATTGTTTCAAGAGCAAGACAAGATCTGCAGCCCAAATGACTGCATCATAAGCTGGAACAGAGAGCCCACTTTCGATTCTGAAAATGACCAGTTTCTGATGAAAATTATGGGCAATCCAGCACTGTCAGCCTGGGGGGGAAATATTTCCTGCTGATAACAATCAGGCATAATTGCTTGCTTTAACTGGTACAAAATAGATGCTGCTACGATGCATGAGGGAAGCTTGATTTCTTGAACACAAAGCTCTCCCTAGCAATCCTCATGATAAAGATACTAACAGAGCAAGCAGATGAGTAAAGAACTATATGTATACTGGAAATACACTGGTGTAGGTACAGGTCCATCTAGGACAATGAGAGCATTTGGATTAAATTCATTCTTTCCTGGGTAGATGTTGGGAAGAATTCATTGGAATACACTATAGGCATTTGCAGCTGAGATCAAAGAAAGAAGCCCCCAGTTCTAGCATTTAAATCAGATGTATATTGGAAGCCTGTCTTTGGATAAAATGGATTGTGCCCTGGCCTTCAATGACCAGACTTCAGAGATTATCACAGGAGCACAGAACAATTATTTACATTTCAATCTTCTTCATAGCAATCTATTTTAGACAGAATAATAGCTGTGACCAGAGTTGCATTTGCAGAATGATCACGTGCTAGTGGAGCCATGGCTGACAAACAGCATAGCTCTATTATGCATGAAAGATTGCCCCTTGATGATATATTCATTACTGTTCAGGTTATCTGCTCAGACATTTTAAGTTTCATTCAGCAGTCAACGTCAAAGTTTGGGGACTTTTTTCTAGTTTGGATATGCAGTGTAGTTTCAAAATTGTATTATCTATTGGTAGAACTGCTTAGGTTCACATTTTAAACAGCTCTTTATTTTATTATAATATACTGATATTTCCTTTTGTTATATAAGAAAAACTTAAAGAAATTTCAACCTCTTTGGCAAAAATTGATAAAATTTTTACTACATTCTGCTATTTCTATTAATCAAAGTTTATCTCCAAGGTTCTGTGGAAACTAACTGAAATAAACAATTGCACATATAAATGGTAGACTTCTAACCTCAGCTATGAAACATTGCTGCATATTGTTGATAAGTATGAGCTCAGTTCACTGAGTAACAAGTTGAATTCTCCATCCTACAATTCTGATTTGAATTTTAAGCCTGAATTTTAAATTGAACTACTAACAATTCCTCACTGAGAAATATTTTAGAAATCAGCTGCTCTAAAAAACAAAAGCAATACTTTCATGAATGATCCTGCCTACCTATAAACATTCTCACAGACCATCAGTGCTTCTGGAAATTTGAAAGGAACCCATGTGGCAGCAAAAAAAAAAAAAAAAAATTCCTTCATTAGTGTCCTAGTACAAAGATTTTACAAAATCATTATTTCATGAACTCAATCTGTATTCTTTCTTCGTGTCCCCTCTTACCTGAATGACTCCTCCACCTTGGCCATCCTTCCCAGCTAAAAACTCCTCAGGCAAATTAACCATCTTCCCTAGCCAATCCAGCATGACAGTCTCCAGCTCTGTGCAAGCTGGACTTGCAGCCTGTGTTGAAAAACAAAGCAGAGGGAATAATCTCACTAGACCATTAAGAGAAATCAGATCAACCAGAGCAAGAATAATTCTCTCTCTTAGTCTCTTTCTTTTGCTATAGAGACTAGATGACTAATGTCACCAGCCAAGTTAGGGACCTGAAGACCATTTTGTGCATATAGTTTCCAACACTTACTAAAAAATATCAAAATAGGCCATGACTATCAAATGTCAAAGCTAGGATTTTCATCTTGCATATTTTTTCTCAACATCAAATACCAGCCACTTTTAAGAAGAGTATGCCTCATATGAATGTGGAGGTTGTAAGAAAATTTTCCATTCATCAGGTGAAAATAGAAATAACAACAATGGCAACAATAACAAACTATAGCCATACTTATTACTGGATTACCAGTATGTTTGCATTTCTATCACTAGCTCTAAATGTTGGTGATTTTTCAAGAGCAAAACTTGTATGAGGAAATAGCCTTTTATTCCTGGAATCATTCAGGGTGTCTATGTGAAAACCCTTAATTCATCAAGGAAATTTGCCTACAAAAATACTCCTGTGACTTCACTGCTAATAATCAATAATTTCATTGTAGAATGTTACTGAAATGCTTAAAATTCTGGCAAAGTGAAGCACCATTACCACACCAGAGTAAACTCACCCAAGAGAAGCCCACACATCCTATTCCACCACACAACATATCTGCAAGAAGAGCTGGGAAGGAAGAGGCTGAAGGGAAGTAGGCAAAAAAGTACGGACTGTGCCAGTGAGTCACCTGTATTAAGTGGAAAATAGTTATTTTTAACTAACACAGGAAGCAGAAGCAATTTGTCACAAAATCAAAAAAGGTTAGAGGTTGTGACAAGCCAACAGTTCTTGACTAGCTGGCTGTAACACAGGATTCCATTTTTTAGAAAAACTTACCTTGTTTTTTTTTTGTAATTTTTTCAGCCAGCTTTTACTCAAAAATAAAAATAAGTTCTTACCCCAAACCCCCAACAGCGCCAAAATCAGAGCTCTCCATTTTCCTTCCTAGAAGACAAGAATTGTGGGGTCATAGCAGCCTGAGCTTCTGTGCAAGCTCAGGCTCACTGCTCTTGAGTCTCTACTGCCAGGGACTCTGGTATTTTGGTTTTCCATCTCTGTCATGCAACAGACTTAGGATGAGTGTCTTCAGTGCAGCAGAAGTCCACAGAACTCTCTTGTCCACACTCTCATGTTGCTTGTTAATTCTCAGGCAGTGAATCTGACCAAACAGCTCCTCACCACAAAATGAAACAACCCATCCCAAATAATACCTTCTGTAGAAAATTAAACTCCCATCTCTCTTTAACAAGTTTTGATTTACATACAATTCCACTTTGTATGAACTAATATGAGAGAACAACATGGTAACTGCATAAATGGTAGTCAATTGCCAAAGCAATATTTAGAATTCTCTTATGTAACATCCAAGCAGTTTTAAGGATCTGTGAGATACTTGATAGTGCTCCACAACTCCAATCTAATAAAATTTGAAAGCAGGAAATGCACAGCCACACAGCAGTGTTCAGTGGAAATAATGTGATATGTGATATGTTTGGCAAAAATAGCTTTTACATTCAAGGTAAAAGGCAAGTTTTTGAAAAAAGTGCTTCCACAGCTGTAAGCAAGAATTCAGCAGATCTATGTAAGATTTTTTTCATAGCTGGAAGTCTAGAGGTTGCCAAGTTATTAAAGGCTAGCCTTTTCTTACATCATTTTATTTCCTTTTTAGTACTGGAATTCTTCTATTACAGCTGGAGGATAGTATGACCATACATTATCTCTTACCTGAGTTCAGTGTTTCTGTGCTGTTTTGTTCCATATTCATTCTCTGATGAATTTTAGCATTTACACTCCTCTCTCCCAGTCTGTGATAAGGTTTCTGGTTCTAGAGCTAACTCAGGAATTGCTATACCACACTGTTCTGCATGCAGCAAATAATCTGTTTCTTTCATCTTCTAACCTTCCTCACGCCAACAACCAACTCTTCTTTAAGGGATGTGATCCATGCTAAGGGGAAACTGTCTAAACTCTTGACAGAATGATTCAGGTATCACTTTCCCTGCTGCAGTGTACCCATCTCTTCATATGAAAACATCTTCTATCCATCAAATTTGCACATCTCTTTCACATGAAAACATCTATCCATGACAATTTTCCACTCTCTAAACTAGCCCTGTACCTCCTATGTTCAAGATTTCATTTTTAATGGCCACTAGGTTGAAACCTGTCAAATCACTTATCCAAAGACAATCCACTGTGAATCTTTTCAGCTGTATCTCGTATTTGGTCAGGATATCCTTCTTTGCTGTAACAAAGTTTTAGAGCTCTTGTGGCAAATGCCTTCCTTCACAAATCAGAAAAAAAACCTGGATAGGACGTGGTTCTCCAAGGGAAAACAATAAAATATTCAAGAAGCAGTGGTCCCCGATAAGATCCACAGGCACAAACTTTCACTGATGCCTGTAATGAGCCAGAGCTGCCACTGTTCATCTCCCCAGCTCTAATCCTCTATGATCTGTAAGACTTGTGACATTCATCTTAGGTTAATCAAGTTAAACTGACTGCTAGCTGGGAGCCATTTGCTTGATGAAACACAGCAGATTCCAGTTGCACCACTTACACAAATCGAAAAAGCTAAAAGCCCTGGGGCAAGTGCAGCTGTGCTTCTTCCTCTTGCCTCCCCGTCCCTTGAAGCAGCTGTAAAATTCTTTTTTTTCACCATGTTGGAACAGATACACTTAGTCAGATATTGCAAAGAGCCTGACATAATTGATGCCTGGGTTTTTTGCCCTCTGCTGATGCAAACGTCTTGGATTCACTCTAATTACCACTCTAGTGCTTCTCAGAGACATTCTATTTCCAAGATTTCTTCTAAGGATGTCTTTCTCTGACTTGCTTAGTCTAAGAAATAGTCTTCCTATACCACACGCTAAGGATAGGCACTTCAGCTGAAAGTTCATAGATTAATGGATCCAATGGGAGGAAAATTAGCATCTTGAGTTTGCAGTTACAACTACTTAATCATTTTTGGCTCTAAAAAGAAGGACAACAAAACAAATCTGAGAGTGAAAGGAGACTGACATGTTTACATGCAGAACCTTTCCTACTGTCTGCCTGCTGTGGAGATCAGAGTTCTGCAGTTATTCCCTCTGTCTCTGTGTTAGAATCAGGAACCTAGTACCATTATTGTCATTATCATTGGGTGGACTGCCCTTTGAAGGTCTACCTTACATATCACAATTAAAGATGTTTCACTACTCATGAACGCTTTTCTCCTACAGGGTGAAGACAGCAATCGACATTGCATTATTATCACTTTACACAATTGATCCCTGCCCTTCTGAACGAACACCATTTTCACACTTTTAGTCATACAGTAAGTAGCAAATATCTGAAAAAACTAACACAGTAAAGATGTCAGCATGAATGAAACAAGAATCACTTATGAGCCACCAATAGCTTACAGGCAAAACAAGGGTTTATGATACGTCATATTACTTATTCATTCTGAAAAAGCCCTTTCTGAAGTTCTTCATTTATAAAATGGATATAAGACATTCCCTGGTCAAACAGTGGCTAAATCCTACAGATAAAAAACACTAGATGTACTTTTAAATGTTATTCTTGTCAGGAAAAACATGGGAAGAAGATTAAGGGAAAATATAACCTGAACAATTAGGGCAAAAACATCTTTGCAGACTGGCTGGATAACCTGGTAAGGAAGAACTTTAAATTATGAATGATGAGGGACTGAGAGGAAAACCCACAATCAAGGGAAGAAGATGGACCAAGCTGGCAAGGAAAGGGGGAAGGATAACATGGACATGAGAGAACTCAGAAAGAAGCTAAGGCTAAAACAGACCAATCCCCAGTATATCTACATAAACTGGGAAGTGCTGAGAGGTCAGCATTAGGGCAGGGCCAGAACAGAGGAGTTCTCACATTTTTTCTGGGGAATCAAGACAAACGGGTGCCTCTCTGAAGCACCCGTAAGCTGTGGCACAACACATGGGGAGCAAACAGAAGGAAACAGAAGGCTGTGTGCAGGTACAGGGCTGTGATTTCACTGGGATCACAGAGATGCTGTGGGATTGCTTGCATGACTGAAGTGCTGCATGCAGCAGATGAGGACAGGCTCTTCAGGAAGTCAGACCAGGAAGGCGAGGCAGAGGATAGTCCTTTATGGAAGAGAACAGCAGGAATGCACTGGCCTCTGCCTGAGAATGGACAATGAGCCAGTCAAGAACTTGTGAGTCAGGACTGGTGAAGATATAGTAATGGGAAATATTTGGGGGTGTGTGTCTGCTACAGACCACCTGATCAGAAGCACATGAGTGCAGCATTCAGACATCTGGAAAAAACCTCATGTTCATAGGTCATAGTCCTCACATCTGCTGGACAGACAGCACAGCAGGACACAGTCTGGAGGGTTCTGGAGTGCACTGATAATTACCTACCACAGGAAACTGTGGAGGAACTGACAAAAATGTGGGACATGCTGTGGGACTGCACATTCACCAACAGGAAAGAAGCGGTGAAGGCAGTGCCCTGGACTGCATTCAAAGCAGTGTGGGCAGCAGGGGAAAGGAGGGGATCCTGCACCTCTCCTCCATTCTGGTGAGACCCCACCTCGACTGCTGTGTGCAGCTCTAGGATCCCCAGTACAAGAGAGGACACTGACCTACTGGAATGAGTCCAGAGGACAGATATCAAGATGATCAGAAGAATGGAGCACCTCTCCTGTGAGAACAGGCTGAGAGAATTGGGATTGCTAAGCCTGGAAAAGAGAAGGCTTTAGGGTGATCTAACTGTGGCCTTCCAGTACCTAAAGGGAGCCTACAAGAAAGATGGAGAGAGACATTTTGCAAGGGCATGTAGTGATAGGACAGGAAGGAATGATTTTAAATGGAGAGTAGGTTTAGATTATATGTTTGAAAAAAAAATTTTTTTACTGTGAGGGTGGTGAGGCACTGAAACAACTGCCCAGGCAGGTTGTGAGTGCTCCATCCCTGGAAGTGTTAAAGGCTAGATCACATGGAGAATGAAGGGGAAAGGCCAGTACTTCATTAAATACCTTGATGATGGGATAGAGTGCACCCTCAGCAATGTTGCAGATGATATAAAACTGGGAGGAGTGTTTGATACACTGTGTGGTCATGCTACAATTCCAAGGGACTTTAACTGCCTGCAGAAATGGGCCAACAGGAATCTCATGAAGTTGACTAAAAAAATGCAAAAGCCTGTACCTGGTGAGAAATAACCCCCTGCCCCACACAGAGCAAGGATCGACTGGCTGGCAAGCAGCTCAGAAGAAATGGACCTGGTGGCCAAGCTGAACATGAGGCAGCAATGCACCCTGGCAGCAAACACTGATCCAAGAGCATTCTGGGCCATGGTAACAAAACTGCTGCCAGAAGGTCAAAAGAGTTGATCTTTCCCTTCCATGCAGCACTGGAAAGGCCACACCTGGAATGCTACATCCAGTTCTGGGTTTTCCAGTACTAGGAACAAAGACATACTGGAGTGATTCCAGTGAAAGACCATGGAGACGATTAATTGCTCTATCTGTCATGTGACAAGCATCTGAAAGAGCTGGGGTTGTTCAGCCTGCAGGAAGCTCAGAGGGTACCTTATTAATGTGTATAAACACCTCATGGAAAGATGAAAAGAAGATGAAGCCAGATTCTTCTCAGAAGTACTCAGTGACAAGACAACAAGAAATGTGCAGAAACTGAAATAGAGAAAATTCCACTTAAACATAAGAATAAGCTTTTTTACTGTTAGGGTGATCCAACTTTGGAACGGGACAGCAGAGTTCATCCTTGGAGATATTCAGTGACCAGCTGGACATAGTCCTGAACAACCTGCTCTAGCTGACTCAACTTTGAGCAGAGGAGATGGATCAAATGATCTCAAGATACCGTCCAATCTCTACTATACAGGACCTCGTGGTTCTGTGCCCATTACTATAAGAACTGGGATTTATATTGTGCTCTTTGTGTCTCTAACATTGCACACCAGTGGAAAAATTTAGGATACAATGATTTTTCTTCAGAATGTATCACTTCGTAAATTTATTTGCAGGGCACATAAATATCAAGAAAAAGTCGATTTAGTTAAGAGAGAACATGACATGTTGATGACATAATTGGAATTCAATGTCTCACTTTCTACTCTCTAGTGATTAATCTCTTATTTTTTAATGCATTATTATTTTATTGAAAGTTCTCAGGTGTTCAAAGTGTTTTCTCTTCTACTTCACAGACATTACTATTTTCCTCCAACGAAAAAGAAAGGGCAATTGTATCTATGAGAAGCAATTAAAGTATTTGCATGTGTTGGGAATAATTCTCTTATCTAATCTGCATTGATTTAACTCCCTTGGATTTAAGATTTCATCCTAAAATCTTTGAAAAGAGTGCAGAGGTTTCGACTGACTTCATTGGAGCTTTTGCCTGTTAAAGTACAGTAGGCTGGCTCCAAGGAAAACAAGATAAAATGATATTGTATATCAAATATTTGCATTGGTCAATGAAAAGGAATTGGCATCACAGTACACTGACTAAAGCCATTTCGATTGTGATGTCCAGTCCCGTCACAACCTAGCTGCATCTAGAGAAGAAATCCAAAGTGTTTATTGAAGAGATCCAAAGGAGGGATTCCTCATTAACATCTACTAATAATTCAGTTCTCTTCAAGCTACTTAAAGGCCTAAGGAGACAAGTACATATTTAAAATAAAAAAGGTGTTCCATGAGTGGAAAAACAAGAAAATTTGAGGCCTGAAAAAATGCCAGATGCTTTGCCAAGTGTTCTGCATTGTCTGTCCAAACCTGATCTATTCAAGGACTACTATTTAGGCAGTGGTCGTCTGCCTTAGAAGTTACAAGAAGTAGTTGACATTTAAGAGACTATGTCAACAGAACAAGTATTGGGAAGAATCCTTTCTAGTCAACTCTCTAATAAAAAGAAGTCTCCTAAGAGAATTTTAACATTTAAAGATCAGCTTGAAGACACACTTTCGGCACAGCAGACTAATAAAAATACTATTTTGTAAAATATTTACTTTGTTATGAAAGTAGTAAAAATATCACATGAAATTGAAAGTTCTGAAGTTTTGTCTTAAACAGTTCAAGGGAGGAAAGGGAATTATTTTCAAAAGTAAAACATTCATGAAGCAAAAGAATGATTTGATTATTTCTAGGAAGAATGGAAAACATTAGTTAGATCATATTCAACATGCAAAGCTGACTCCTGCCTTCTAAAAGTTAATCAGTGTGGGTACTTATGTTGGTAAACCCACACTTTCTTTAAGGTGTTTGAAAACCTAAATGCAGTATTGAACATTACACTACAGTTCCATTTTTCTTACCCCTGGCATAATGATCTTCTCAATGTCTTTAAAGACATCGTCAAAGCTCTCAGGATCCTGGGGTGCACAGTCTGCGATGAGGGGCCGTAGGTATCCTGGTTCCACATCTGGGAATACCTGTCGTTTCTCTATCTTCTCCAGGTAATCTGCAACATAGTCCACCATCTCCTTCCCTCTCTTGCGGAATTCTGCAGCATCCATGGGTATCAGAGTTTAGGGCCTATTCTCAGAAAAACACTTGAAAAGAAGGAGAAAAAACAATTATTTTTGAAAGAGAATTTTACTAGTTTTAAACCTGTTATTCCTAGGATTTATAGGAAGACTCATATGGTCATGATATGAGTAGATTAGATTAATACAGATAGAGAATAAATTTAGCACAGAAGAACAGTAGAAGCACACTGATGAAGATTCAAAAATTACAGATTTATTTCCTACAGCTGCTGGTTGACACAAGGATGTGGCACTGTTAAGTGGCACATAATCCGCTCCCTCCTGCCTTATGGAGAAGAAGTGTAAGAAAACAGCCTGCTGTGTGTCTCTATTATAATCTGCAATAACAAGCTATAATAATCACAGTGATCCACTCTACTGTCCTGTCATTTTAGCTGCTTCTCAACTCCTGTCTTGCCTCAAGATCTAGCTTCTTTACTCTTGCACTGCAAATGCACATGCTTTGTCATCTACAAAACTTTGTGAGGTTTCAAAAAGAATTCACTTCAAGCTGATGTGTACTGTATTTTGCAGGAGAATGTGAGGAAGCTCTGTCTGGGGTTGTCCATATTTCCAAGACGTTGGTCTGCAGCTCCAGGCATTCTTGGAGATAGGCAGAATGTGTGAGCACACCCAAGGTGATACACAGCTCAGCTGAGATGAGCTGGAATTTGTCTGCAAAGTGCTCTGCAAGCATAAATTCATGATATAACAGTACCTGCTCCTGCCACCCTGGCCCACCCAATTTTATTACTCTGTCTAGCTGTGCATTTTGAGTACTCAGTGAATAATATATGGCTGAAACTTTTTATCCACTGAGTACCAAAAAAGTGTCCCAGAGTCTTTATACGCTCAGATTGAGGGATACTGTTCTTTGGAATCCAGTCAGAAGACTGGCAAGAGAAAAAAGGATACTCACTGTTGGTCTCAAGAACTATTGTGCTTAGCTCACACACCTGTAGATCTTCACTTGGTAAGGAAATAATTATATTAAGCACAATGTGAATAATAGATAAGTAGAAGACAATTTTTCAGACACCAAGTATTTGTGATAATGATTTCTAACTGAGAATTTTGAGAAAACAGAACCTCCTGGGCTTTGTTAAATTTGAATTAGTACTGTAACATCACAAGAGAAAGACATTAATAAGCACAGTCCTAGACATGTCTCTGCTGCTACAAACAGAGGATCTGGGATTTGTGTGGAGCAGCTGCTGCTTCTATTTGAGAAGGCAGGGTGCTGCTGTATGTCATGAAACACTTGGGAGAGCAAGGATTTGCACAGTAGGGACTTCTAGATCCCCAGAGATGGTTGCTCCTGTTGCGATTTTACTACAGTTTTAGTGTTATCTTTCATTATCATGTAAGTGTTTGTCTCTGTCTCTACCTTTCATAAAGGGGTATTAGGACCTTTCTCATATCTTCCTACTACGTTGCTGGAAATACATTATCAGTGCTCATTACAGTCCTTAGAATGTGCAGTGGGCAGCTTTGTGTGTCAACTCCCTTTTGAAAACCTGTGTTTAAGTGAGGAGTTTCGTTTCTATTCCTTTAAAATCAGGATAACTCAATTTTTTACATACTCCCCAAATCTTATGTGCATTTTCATTTAACACATCTTTGTTCATTGCTCAAAATTTTAATGAACTCTCTAAAGAAATCAGCATGAACTGCAGCAATCAATATGCATTTATGTGGCAGCAATCTAATTACACACCAAGGCTCTGTTCTTTGGTTTGGATATTTTTTGCCAGAAGAAATTGAAATACTGTACTGTTGCACTTCTTTTTCAATGCATCTCTAACTTAACTCTTAAGTCACACTATTCTTATTTCTTTTATGCTACTTTATTCATGGATTCTTTGCTACAGCATGCCCTAAAGAACTTGCATGAGATGATCTGTTATTTTTTCCTCTGATTTCAGAGAAGAAAGCTGAAAAAAAGAATTTAACAAACAACTGACAAATTAGTGGGAGATGCCTGAGACTGAACTGACTCAGAACATTAGGACTGGTGTTTCCAGGACTGCTGTTGCTCACCACAGTGCTACAGTTATTCCTACAGACCTCTACACACAGATCACTTCAGCTGAGTATCTCATTCCACATCTGTGGTTCCAGTGAACCCCAAGTACAGCTTCAAGACAGGTAAGAGCATCACTGCGTAAGAGCATCACTACACTACTCCCTAGCTTTACCTGGTAGTAATTAAATAAAAGGGACCACTTAACATAAAAACTTCTGTGGATCACGTGGTCTTTTCCTAAAATACAAATCAAATGGCATAAATTAAATCACATTATGTGTAAGCTCAACACAGCTTACAAACACACAGAAAAAAAATTTACTTTATCAAAAAAAAAAAATTACTTTTATTACCAGAACATACATGGTATGTTTTATAGGATGTGACATTTACATCATCTTGTTGCTACACAGTATGCTGATATTATTATTTTTATTACTAGAAGTTTGGACAAAGTTATTTTTGGATATCAGGATAAGCAAATAAAATATTATATCTAAATATAAATAAATATAAATAAATATAAATATAAAGTAACTTTACTTCTTCCCAAGAATGGGTGGTTCACTGGCTCATCCTAGCATTGTTTTGGCTGCACTGCTTCTGTCATTAATCACTGTTGCAATAGCAAAATTCCGGTAAAAAATTAAATTACAGGGGAAACCCACTGTTTTGCATGGAAGTAACTGAACCCAGAAGCTTAAATGTTAAGATTCAAAGGTTGAGCCTTTCATCCCAAATGTGCTACAGTGGTTGCACTGTTATAAATTGATATGAACTAATATTTACTTAATCTCTAATACTTTGACAATTCAGTTTGATGCAGTGAAGTATGTCAAACTGCTTCAATCTGAAGCAAAGTATTTAACCCTTCTTTCCTCCAAAGACAACACCAAGAAATTAAAAATCTGTTTTTTTCTATTCATGCATCTTCCTTCCTAAAATCCCCTACCTACAGTAATACACGTATCTCACGGGGGAACTGTGAAGGCACACTCCTTGCAGGAACACAGTGGTCATCCTTTTCATCTCCCATGTTATATCTGTTCCTCTGTGAGTGACAAGACCCATTACCCTTTCATCCCTATTTTTATTCTCTTCCTGAACTGTTTGCTATAGATCTCATTTCACTGCTTGAAAGTAGTACTTGCTATGGAAGCCATCTCCAGCAGACAACTGTAATGCTCACTAGTGAGTACTATCAAAATGCAAATTACTTCATCTTTCTACCAGTACAGAATATCTCTACTTGCACACACATAAAACTCATGTACAATGCAACAACACAATGCATAGGGAGAGACCTTCCCTCTATGCCAGTATATTTTTAAAATACAGAGATTTTCTAAAAAGCAAAATATTTCAGAGAACTCACACCTTAGGGTTTAAAATGAAAGTGCTGTTAGAGAGGATCTGTACTTTCTGAAGGGATGTGTGTTACAGTCTGCATGCAGTCAAAATATCCACTTGAAGGAACTTAAACTGCAAAATAATGCAAGCCAAGTTTCCAAAATTAAAGGGAAATTTCAGAGAAACTCATCCTCTTTCTAAAGTATTTAATAGGAGTAGATCTTCTTGAAGGCCTCTAAAGAGTGAGAAAGTCACCACACTTTGAAAGATCCCACACCTCCCAGGATGAGGTTCAGCATATTCAGTATCTGCAAGCTGAACTCCAAGTGAGGAGAGCACAGCTTCTCAGGAGGTGCCGTGCCTAACTATCAGCCTCTGCCACACTGTAAGTAGTCTGTATGCAAATTCATTGACAGCCTCACTCTGACTGATAAAATACAATTTTAACAAGCATATATTCTGCCTGAGCATTTTTGTTCCCAGCAAGAATCAATGGCTACTGTCACCACTGCATACTTCTGATCAAATACGACTTTACTGGAAAAGACTGAGTTCTGCTCTAAACTGCAGGTAAAACCAAATAAAAACATGTTAAACCTTAAATTACATCAGTATATCTTTTTTTACTTATTCCTATATAAACTCCTTGGTCTTTTATTTTGCTGTAATTTGTTAGAGGACAAGTATACTACACAATTTAAAGTTGACATATCCTTTGTTGCTTTTTTTTAAACTACTCCTACCTCAGAGCACTGAAATTAGAATACAGACACATTTTATTTTACTAAAGTTATTGAAAATTGTTGCTGGTCTTGAGATTGCATATCTTCATTTGCCAGCAGTTTTCTACTTTATCTGAAACTGAACCATACAAATGAGTAATTTACACACAAGCAATTATTAAAGATATTTATAGGTATAGTACTTTGTTGGTAACATTCAGCTTATTCATTATTTCTGTTAAAAGGCATTGTCTATGATTTTAGAATCTGGGTGGGTTTTTTCATATTTACTAAATATGAATGTAAAATATATCTAAATGCTACCATGAAATTCATTATGAGAAAGAAAAAAAGATGAAAAAGCAGAAAAAAGAGGGAAAAGAGGAAAAGCAGAACAAATGAGGAGAGAGGTATATTTGATGCATTATAATTTTATGTCTCCCTCTTCTCCAGTTGATCAAACTAAAATAAACAACAGCTAACAAAATAAAATCTTTTAGCAGCTCCTGTTTATAAATACAGACAGGAAGAATGCATAGACACATTAATAGCACCTAAAACTTTACTTTTTTTGAGGAAATACAGCTATAACTGTGTCTCTTTCCAATGAGTCAAGTACATTTTCTATTCTGCCAACTGATTGTTGCAGACCAAAATGTAATTTAAGGGCTCGTGGTGTTTCAGTGACACCACTGAAGCCATGATAACTTCCTGCTACTGAACCCAACTGAAGGTTTTTGCAGCTGTTGCCACTGTTAAGCTGAACTTCCTCTGCTGGCAATAGGATATTGCCAGAAAAAGAGCCAAAGGATGGATTTTATTTCAGCACAAATAAAAAGGAACTGGATCTACACTGTATTTCTACCTTTGCACAGTCAAGAATTAGGAGTATATGTTATAACCCCTACATTTTATTTAAAGAATTGCATTTTCCAGAAGTTGCTGGCTGTATTAATTTACTGTCACTGGCACAGTGTTTGCAACCTCATAATGTTCCCTGCTGAGGTCTTACTACAGTGATGGGAAAGGGTTATTTCTGAGGAAAACTTCACCCTAAAAAAGTAATGCATTTAATTTATCTTGAAATTCTATTATTCAGAATATTTGGCAGAGAATTTCTCAAGTTCTTCTTGGTTACTGCAAACACTACTGTACTTGGAAAGGCAAGGTAGAAACTTTTGTATACATGGGATTCTACATAAACGCATATAAACAGTTACAGCTGACATACATCAGATGTAACAAAAAGCAAACACAACACAACAGGTGTACATTACATTGTGCAAACTTGGATTAAAAATAAATGTTATTATTGTTAACATCATCCCTAAAATAACACAAGCTGGCTGTTTATTAACTGAGATCCCACTCCCCATAACCAATTGTTGCATTAATACAAATGCACCTACTTGAATTTAATAACCATAAAGCCTTAAGGACATAGAATATTACTTACAATGAGTTGGTAAGGTTTTTGCTTCTCCCCTGCCTTTCTCACTGCCCTTCTTTTCTCCTCAGTGACAGCTACAAAGCAGAGAGGATGCAGCTGCCAGCATATATAGGCAGAGTATCCATGTCCCTCCAGCCTATCACAGCCACGGGCTTTGCACTGAACATGCAGCAGCAGCATCTCCCCCTCCCACAGCTCCTCCAAAATATACCTCGCAAAGGAAGCTCCCTGAAAAGCAGCAGGATCCGACGGAGAAACGGCCCTTGCCTAGGTTAACTCTGCAGTGCCCTGTGTTTTCTTCCAGGGGCTCCATCCACAAGTTCATTAGCAGCGAGTGTCTGATCACATGCTCCCTGTCTGTGCTGCACTCCGGGACATTTCTGCTGAGGCTGCTGCAGCAACAGCAAGTGCTCTGATTCACTTCTGTGAAATATTATTGCCAGGAATGAAACACAGATATGACTGAAGTACCACTCAAGTGACTGCAAGCCCAGGTATACAGCTGTGGAATAAACATCCCCAGATAAGCTTTATCCAACTTCTTCCAGTTTCTCTCTTTGATCATATGTACACTTAAAAGCAATTCTAAGCGTTTAAGATTGGTTTTCCTACTCTAGAATTTTTATGCAGAGTTCACTTTCCTAGATGAATCCAGGTGACTTCCTGTCATTTTTATTTCAGTCAACTTAATCTAAAAAAAAAAATAGTATCAGGATTTCATAGTCCTAAACAGCTTATAGAGAGGTAGTGTGGCAGATTTGGGATGGTCATTGCTCTCGCACCAGTCTCCAGTCCATTGCAGTCCATTATCACAGAAAACCTTTTTGTGAAGGAGGAGTAAGTCACAGCTTTTTAAAACTGTCATGGCAGTGTTTTCTCTTCTAATGTTACAAGACCAATGACAACTCTGCTACAATTCTGGAAGAGCCTATTCAAAATAAAACTGGTACCTAAACTCCCCAGGTGAGCTTTCTGGCGTCATTGCACTTGTTGTGCCAGATGTTATTCTATGATCTGACTTGCATTTCCAATGCCCGGGTCGGCTGCTGTAATGATTACTTCTTCAGTCTTGAAAATCACCAAGAAACCCCAGAGTCAGTTGCCACCGCCTCTGAGACATTTTCCACCTCAAATCAACTCCTGAGCTCACAGAGTTACAAATTGGGCACACTGGGACCCCACAGAAAAACAGGTGTTTTGGAGACTTTTCCTATATATTTTTTCTTCCTGAATTTGACTGAAAAGGCTGAAAATTCAAAATTTGTTGTGAGGGTATAAGAGATGCAAAAATTGAAGTTGTCCCTAGTAAACTTAAAGATAACTGAAATTTCACTTCAATGTTTCATGCAAATGGCTTGCAAAAGGTCAATAACTTTCAAAGGAAATTAAAAATGGAAACTAAAATTAAGACTGGAGTATTAAAATGCTGGTTTAATCAGTGTTGAAATACAGCCTCAAAGTCACCTGATGTGTTTTTATTTCTCTGCTGTACCTGTAAAGCTTGCTGTGAGGAGGCAATGGTTGCATTTTCCATTAAAATATTTCTTTTTGTTATTTCTCCGGAAGAAAAAGGAAATTAAGTGTGAAGGTACAACAGGCAAACTGGAAAACGGGAATTAAATGCCCTTCTAAAAATCATGCTCCATGTCTATTCTATAATTTAGAAATTCTTCTGGCTTGTACTAGTTTCATAATTCTCATCATTAACTGTTGGAAATAAACAAATCTTTGTTTAACAGAATCTTTCTGAGGTGGACAAAAGGAATATCACTAAGCTTTCTATCACAGGTTCTGGCTAAGTCACACCTAATGAACTTGTTCCAGACCCTTCAGACCCTCTCTTTCATAGACAGAGAACAATGTTGCTTACTACTGAAACACAATAGAGATTCCTCCTTTAGTGCCAAACTGCTCCAAAATTCAGGATACCAGTGTGTGAGAAATAACAGATGATCCCAAAAGTTTTAAAGGCTGGGACTTATTGGTAAGCACCCAACAGACCTATTATTCACAGCTAACAAGAGACAAGCTTCAATATGTTTTTGCACATGGAAGTTGACTGTGATGATGATACATAAATGATGCTGTGCCCATGCTGTAATAGCACCGATTTATTACCTTTACTGGACCCTTTGGTTTGCAAATGAGGTGGGAGAGAGGCTGTGTTTGAACAGGAGGCTCCAGCACAGCACCAGAAAATGAAGCAGACAATGCATTATCAATCACTGCAGTTCCATTGTCAGTCCTTATGCAAAAACATAGATCAAAGCAGAGGGGATTAAACAGTTTGTACCTACTTTCTAACAGCTTTTGCCTCCTCCATGACTGTAGAGTGCAGGTTAGAAATGAAAAGGCAGTTTCTTCAGGCTTTTAGTCCAGCTATGATTAGATGGCTCCACTCCCAACTTAGTTTTTCCCTCAGCTGAACAGCCTGACACTCTTCTCATGCTAGCCTCATGGTGTTGGTCTAGGTACTAAATTTGATGAAGATGTGTTTGGGCTGTAGTTCACTGAGCCTAACATTGTTTGAAATAACCTGTTCTGAGCTATAACATGAAGGGCTTTAAATTGACTCAGATACACTCAGTATCTTAGACATTGAGAAAATAATTTGAAACAATTAATTAGAGATCTAGCACAATGTTTGTGCCTGTTTTCCACATTTGGTGTCTAGGTGTCAAAGGAACAGAAACTGTTACCTATGCATAAAAAAACCCACTGGTTTGTTGTATTTGGTTTACTCTGTGTCTGTAGTTTAAGGATGCTGGTTGGAGACTGCAGGCATTTTTTCCAGTTTTCCTTGCAGCTGCTCCTTCAAAAAGAGAACAGTAGTAGAACCCTATCTTTGTCTTTCTTTTTTCCCCCCAGCATAGTCTTCCATTAATATAAAAATACTAGTTACAGGAAATTATCTACGAGAAGGTAAAAGAAACACAAACAAGTGAGAATGGATTTTATGTTTACGGAACATAAAAGGATTTTATGTTCCATAAACAAGGTCCAAATCTGCATAAGCACAAACATGAGACAAGAAAGAGTATTTTAGATAAAATGTGCAACTAACAATTTTCTAATTAAAACAAAGGGTATATTTCCTTTGGAAGAAAGTAAGAATTAAATAAAGCCTTCTGACACAAACAGATGGATTACTCTCAACGTATGAGGATAAAACCTAAGTCTCCTGCAGAACATAAGTAGACTTTGCAACAGATTAGCCAGGAGATGAATCTGAGAGAGAGCTGACAAACTGGGAAAGTAACTATCCTCTTTTTTCATAAATATTTTATGTGTGACTTGTTTTCCCTGTTCAGTTCCTATTGCTGGTTGTGTGAACATGTGAAGGTAAACCAAAGAAGGAAAAAAGGAACTGCTAACAAAGAGAACATGGACACAGACTCACACACACAGTTTCAGAGAAGTTAATGTACCATTTGCTGGTTCGAGGCAGCCTGAGCATATTACTGTTATGGAAGCAAGCCTACAGAAAAGAGAGGTTGTGATGAACTGAGAAAGTGTCAACAGAAAAACTGACAGGCTGTGAAGAGTCACAGAGACAGTGAGAGCAGGCTGCAATCACAGTAGGCAGAGTCTTCCAATACCAAGATAGGAATAGCTTCTGCTGTGAGCTGAGATGTGCTTACCTAGGGGTGTAGGCACTGCCAGGGCACCCATCCAGCCATATACTGCTCACAGAAAGAATGTTCTCAAGCATTGACTATTGTCAGCTTCACAGAAGCTGTGGCTGACAGATGAACTGCTACGAGGCCTTAAATGTGCTGTGAAGACCTCATGTTAGAAAAGCAAGTTAGAGCAGTTAGTTTATGAATGGAATAACCCCTGTGTGGATGAAAAGACAGACCCAGATGAGGCATGAGGAACAAAGATGGCTTGAGATAAGAGGGAACACAATGCAGCACTTGCTCTTGAGCAAGTGATTTGTTCAGATCACTGTTTACAAAAATATCAAAGAACACACAGTGCTTGGTTGAGAGGGTGTTTTTAATTTATTTTAATCACTGACTGTGATTAACACCTTGGCACAAGGGCCATGCACTTGCAATAAGCTTGGAAGAGCATTTGCCACCACTGTAAGACTTGAATCATTCTTGAAAGGATGAGAACGTCATCATGGAGTCTCTTCATTAAGAGTATGTTGGTGCCCAGCAAGTGCTATGGCAAGGGATCACACCAGTGTTCCTTGCTGTACCTCCCTGTCAGCTTTTCTACAAAGGTGTCTTTGGCTCCCCTTCACTCTGTGCAAACACATGCATCTTTCCAGAAAAGACCAATGCAAATCTTCAGTAAACTTACGTTTAGTAAAGCACATTGGAGAAGTTCATGGAGGACTGTCTCCTGTGGGAAGACCACATGCTGGAGCAGGGAAGGACTCCTCTATCTCAGCAGCAGAAGAAACAACCTGTGATGAACTGACCATAACACCCCCATTCCCTGTCTCCCATCACCACTCGGGAAGGAGGAGGTGGAGTCTGGGAAGGGCTGGGGCAAAGGTGTTTTAAAGACTTATTTTACTTCTCATTATTGTCCTTTGATTTTATTAGTAATTAATTCAATTAATATCCCAAATTTGAGCTTGTTTTGCTCATGATAGTATTTGATGAGTGCTCTCTCCCACTCCTTATCTCAACCCAGGAACCCCTGGTTGCATTTTCTTTCCCCTGTCCAGCTGTGGAGAAAAGTGACAGAGAGGCTTTTTGCTTTTTGTGGGTGCTGGCATCCAGCCAGGGTCAACCCACTACACACATATCCCGAAATGAGAGCACTGAGTGGGAACCAGATCTTCCACATGCACAGGGTCTCCCTGGTCATGGACACCCATTCACAGCTGAAACAATGAGTAAGGTAATATTTGCTCCCTTCTGCTCTGGGTTGCTCTCTTTGCCTCAGGCATGGGAGTGATATATGTACACAGCCCACCTGCTTGAGTGCAGGAAGATGCATTTACACTGTTGAGTCTTTCCATTGAGCCATGTGACGTTGCTCCTGACTCCTGCTAATATGGTTAGCATAACCAACACCATTTCCTTAGACAAACAGCCATAACATGT